TTATATTTTTTAACAGCAAATTAATAATATTTTAATAGCAAATTAATATTTTAATAGCAAACTTAATAAGCAAATTTTGGCTTTATTTATTTATTGATTTTTGGCCTTTTTTTTTTTTTTTTGGTCTTTTTGAGACAGGGTCTCTCTGTAGCCCCAGCTGTCCTGGAACTCACTATGTAGACCAGGCTGGCCTTGAACTCACAGAGCTCCATCTGCCTCTGCTTCCCCAATGCTGGGATTAAAGGCCTGCACCACCACGCCCGGCTGGCTTTATTTTTATGTGTATGAGTGTTATGCCTGCATGTATGTAAGTGCACCCGTGTCATGCAGTGACCTTGGAGGACAGAAGAGGGCATCGGATCCCCTGAAATTGGAGTTGCAATCAGTTGTTAACTGCTGTGTGGGTGCTGGGATTCGAACCTGGGTCTTCTGCAAGAACAGCCAGTGCTCTTAACCACTGGGCCATCTCTATAGCCCTTGATCACTTTCTTTAGTCTCATATTTAACTATGAAAACTTATGGTATACACTCCTGGTATATACCCAAATGACACTGTATCCTACTGAGATGCTTACATATCCCTGAAAAATGAAATTATGAAATTCACAATAAAATGAATGGATCTGGAAAATATTAATGTGGTAACCTAAATTCAGAGACAAATAACCACATGTTCTCTCTCATATGCAGATCCTAGGTTTTAATTTTTATGTATGTTATATGTGTGTGTGTGAATGTAGGTATAGGTCATAAAACTAGAAAGGGGACCATGAGATGGGGAGAAGTTTTGGGGTTTTTTTTTTTGTCTTTTTGAGACAGGGTCTTTCTGTAGCCCCAGCCTCCTCCTTTCTGATCTTAAGTGTACTCAGTTTCTCACCTTATTTTGCATGCTAAAATTTGTCTTAAATTCAAAATTATTTTCTTGCTCTCTGGACTTTCTGTAGGGTGATGTTTATAGTAATGTGGCATTGTATATGAGCAAGAGCAGTGTTAACTCTGCTGGGACCCCATGAGAAAAACCATGTGATAGCGCTAAGATTTTTTTTAAGGGTTCTTCTCTAAATTTGATATTTCAGTAATCTGCCTTAAATAGTTTTTAGAGCAGATTTACATTAAAATAGTGCTCTTTTTTTTTTTTTTTTTTTTTTTTTTTTTTTGACAAGGTCTCCCTGTAGCCCCAGCTGTCCTGGAACTTACTATGTAGACCAGGCTGGGCTTGAACTCACGGAGATCAACCTGCCTCTGCCTCTTGAGGGCTGGGATTAAAGGCGTGCGCCAGCACGCCCAGCGGGGAGAAGATTTTAAAAGAAGAGAAAGGTAATCAGACATATGTGACAAGAAGACAGAAGCGACTACTAGGATGGAAAGATACAAGGGGGCAGCAGAGAGATGGAAGAGGAGAGAGAGGATATACAAAAGCAAATTATCTAGAAGAATGCTGTAATGAAACCTATTTTTTTGTATGCTGATTAAAAACAACTTATGGTATAAAAACTTACGGTGGAAGCTGGAGAGATGACTCAGTGAGTAAGAGTACTTGCTGTGTAAGCATGAGGACCTAAGTCTCAATCTCTAGCACCCATGTAAAAAGCCAGGCCTGACTGCATGCTTGTAACCCCAGTGTTCAGGGGAAAGACAGATGGATCCCAGGACTCTTTTGGCCAGCCAGCCTAGCCGAAATGGCAGGCTTTTCGTTCATTGTGAGACTCTGTCTCAAGGCAATAAGCAGAAGAGTGATAGGTGAAGAGACCTGATGTTCTCCTCCTACGTCTTCATGTACACATAAGGGTGCACACCACCACACAATCACATGTATACCTATCCTCTAACACACACATAACTTATGGTGATGTTTGAGAAACAAGTTAGTCTCCTTGCTAAGAAAGCAGACGTGAGTTCATTAAAGCTAGAATTTACAAATATACTTAACTCTTTTAAAATTTAATCAAAGGGGGCCAGGCGTGGTGGCGCCCGCCTGTAGTCCCAGCACTCGAGAGGCAGAGGCAGGCGGATCTCTGTGAGTTCAAGGCCAGCCTGGTCTACATAGTGAGTTCCAGGACAGCTGGGGCTACAGGAAGACCCTGTCTCAAAAAGACCAAAAAAAAAAGAAAAAAACTTAATCAAAGGTGTAATGAATTCCCATGTATCTAATAACCTAGTGTGTATAGCTATTAATAATGGTAGTGTTTTAAAACCCTATCACATTTTTGAAAGCATTGAAAGTTTGCTTTTTAAATTTTTGGTTTGTTTGTGGCTGGGTCTGTATACTCCAGGCTGGCTTTGAACTGGCTTTGTAGCTGAGGATGACCTTGAACTCTTAATCCTCCTGATTCTCCCTCCCAAGTGCCAAGATTACTGATGTGTGCCACCATCTCTGCTTTTATTCAGTGCTGGGAATTTAACCCAGGTTTTTGTGCATGCTGGGCAGACACTCTACCATCATTCTGTAGATCATTGTTCTCTCACTTTCTAACTTTTGGAGACCTTCTAAATTGTAAACTTGGCTTTGTGATTTCGGTTTCTTCTGAAATGACCTAACAAATTTCCATTCTAATATAATGGTACATAATGGAGAATTGAACCTAGGCAGAGCTTTCTGAACATGTCTATACAGTTTTTTTCTTAAGTAGATATTTAGAGCAGAAGATAGGACCTTATTCATTGTATATTGACTATTATTCTGCTACAGTGAGCTTGAAATTACTAAGATTTCTTACTCAGATATAGTAATGTTGCCAACATGGCAAACCTCTAAATTATGCAAATAATTATAGCTATTGAATTGCTTTTCAGACCCAAGATAGTGAGGTCTCCTAACTCTCCTTTTCCAGATCATTCTGTTTGTTTTTGGGTTTTGTGTTTGTTTGTTTGTTTGTTTGTTTAATCTAGAGTCCTTTCTATCATATCTAGTCAATTTTCAAATTTTTCATGTCCTTTTTGTTATCACCTAATTTAGATCCTTCACCAGTGAATGACTGGAGTCCCTGTTCCCCATTTAGTCACGTTGTGAACTCATTAATCTTTCAGTGAAATAGCTCAATTTATCCTTCACCTTTGTAAAATTCTTTCCTTTGTCCCCTTGTTTCTCAATTAAATATGAGCATTCTTGTAACTCTTTTAAGGCTGCTGTCCTAAGGCCTCTATTTTACCACATAATCCTAACTTACTGTGCTAACATTGTATCACTCTTTCCTTCTTACCCAAATCCTGTAGTTCAACTACATTGAATGTTTTCTGTTCCCTAAAAGTAACTAAACAGTTAATTCCTTGTGCTTTCTGTTTTGACTCTTTGCTTATGTCTCTGCTGATCTTATCTTCCTTCAATCTCAGCCTCTCGAATTCTGCTTCATCCCCCATGAACCAGTCTCACTATTCTTTTTCATGATGTCTTTCCCAATCAGAAGGAATTTTTTCCCCATTGGAGTACATTCTCTGTCGCTCTGTGTCTCTCTGTGTCTCTGTCTCTATCTCTCTCTCTGTCTCTCTCTCTCTCTCTCTCTCACACACACACACACATAGACATGCACTAATACAAGACTTACTAGAAGGAACTTGAGGAAAGAGGTTTACAGAAACTACTTTCTGCTTAATTTTTTCTGAAACTACTCAAAACAAATTTTTTTTTTTTTTTGGTCTTTTTGAGACAGGGTCTCTCTGTAGCTCCAGCTGTCCTGGAACTCACTATGTAGACCAGGCTGGCCTTGAACTCACAGAGATCTGCCTGCCTCTGCCTCCCAAGTGCTGGGATTAAAGGTGTGTGCCACTACACCCGGCCATCAAAATTTTTTTAATTAAGTGTATGCATGTGTATCTGTGTGTATATATGCTATGTATGTGTAGGTGCCTGAGAAGGCCAGAAGAGGGTGTCAGATCCTGTGGAGCTGGAGTTAGAGGTAAGGCACCTGATTTAGGTACTGGGAACCAGTCTTGGATCCTCTAGAAGAACAGCAAATGCTCTTAACCTCTGAACCATCTCTCCAGCTCCTCAAAATTTTATTAAAACAAAAAATCGGACTTGGACTATAGCTAAGGTGGTAGAGTCCTTGCCTAGCACGCATGAAGCCCTGGGTTCAGTCCCCAGTGCCACATAAACGAAACAGGGTACACACACCCATAATTCTAGCACTTTAGACAGTAGGGCAGGAGAATCTGAAGTTCAAGGTCATTCTTGGCTATAAGATTTCAAGGCCAGCCTGGGATATATGAGACCCTGTCTCAAAACAGTAATAATAATACTTAAACAAATTTATTAAAACAAAATTGTTACTTTCCGTATAGCTAAATGCTTAATAACTCAACTCAAAGTAGTAGGAGACACTGAAGGTGGTTAGGCTACAGCACAACAGTTATCAGGATGCATGTTCTTTATCTTACACATGCTTTCTCTTGAAGTTCTCCTCCCTGATAGTCATGTGTATTTGTGTACATCAGCATATCTTTAGGAACCAGGGTAAGATAATATCAATATCTTTGGGCTCCTGCAAGTCCTTGTTACAGTTTCCATTTCTATCAGCTGAACAGTTAATGTTTGTAGAACTACAAGTTTAGCTTTGTAACCTATAGACTAAAAATTGTCCTCTGGAATTTGCCAAGATTTTCAAATTTTGCCTAGTTTGTAAAATAATCCCTATTGTATACCTTAGCTATTACACTGTAAGAACGGGTAAGAGCCAGGTATAGTGGCATACCCCTTTAATCCCAGTACTCAGGAGGCAGAGGGAAGTGGACCTCTGAATTCCAAGCCAGTTAGGGCTACACAATGAGATCCTGTCTCAAAAGACCCTCCCCCATCCTCCCCCCCAAAAGAATATGTAAGAATAGAGATCATAAGTAAACAAAGGCTCTGTCATTTGACAGTTACTGGTTACTTATTTCCCTGAGTTTACCAGAGTCAGTTGTTATTATTTAGAAATGTGTGTTGGCTTTTATCATGTGTTCACTAGAATAATGGTAATAAAAATCCAGGTGTCTTTCTATTAAAAATCAAATTTATTTTTCAGCATGTTTTTTATTTTGATGAAGTCTTTGGTGAGGCATGCACCAATCAAGATGTATACCTGAAGACTACTCACCCACTCATTCAGCACATTTTCAGTGGGTGAGAAAAATTATTTTCTTCTCTTGCTTTTAGTTTTCTGTTTTCCATCAGCCATGTTTCTTTATAAATACATGTGTGCTTTTTAATTCTTTTTTTTTTTTTTGGTCTTTTTGAGACAGGGTCTCCCTGTAGCCCCAGCTGGCCTTGAACTCACTATGTAGACCAGGCTGGCCTTGAGCTCACAGAGATCTGCCTGCCTCTGCCTCCCGAGTGCTGGGATTAAAGGCGTGCGCCACCACGCCCGGCTAAGTTCTTTTAAATTAAATATGAATTTATGTTTTAATACAATGAATTTAAGTTAGACTCTTCTGAAGAAGTGTAGTACCAAATATTCAGAAATTTATAGCAAAATTTCCTTTTACACTGGTGATATTGCTTCATCTGTGTTTCATGGGAAAGTGTAAGCTGCTCTCAATAGTTTAATTTTGTCAGTCTTCAGAATTAAAAGATATAACTTGTTGTAATTAACTTGAACTTTGAAATTTCTAAGGAAGAGGTAGTAGCTCCCAGCACTTGGGAGGTTGGGGTGAGAGAATTCATACAAGTTCAAGGCTGGCTAGCCTGGGCTACATAGTAAGTTCGAGGAGCTCCAGGCCAGCCTGGATTACAAAATGTTATTGTCACGAAACAATAAAAACAAAACAGAGGGAAAGAAAAAGAGAAATCTCTAGGATCCTCCTAAGTGTGTTTTGCAGTACTTCGGATTGAATTCATGACCTTTTGCAGGCAAGGCAAACACTACCAATTGAGCTATATCTCCCTTTCCTCTCTCCCTCCCTCCTCCCCCCTTCCTTCCTTCCTTCCACCAAGCATAAGAGTGCACAGCATTTAATCCCAGCATTCAAGAGGCAAAGGCAGATAAATCAGAGAGGCAGGTGCATCTCTATGAGAACAAACCCAGCTCTAGCTACAGAGAGACCCTGTCTCAAAAAACCAAAAACTAGGCCAGGGTGAGGTGGTGCATGCCTTCAATCCCAGCATTCAGGAGGCAGAGGCAGGTGGATCTCTGTGAGTTCAAGGTCTACATAGTAAGTTCCAGGCCAGCTGGGGCTACAGGGAGACCCTGTCTAAAAAAAAAAAGACAAAATAAAACCCCCAAATAAACTGGAATTAAAAACTGTTGTGAACTGGCATGTAGGTGCTAGGAACTGAACCCAAGTCCTCCGCACAAGCAGCAAATGCTCTGAGCCATCTCTCCAGCCCCTCAAGTGGTTTCTGAAAAGGCCTTGTTTTCTTATGTTCTAGAGTTGTCTTATATAGCCTTATAGGTCTGTAAGATAATTTCTGTAAGAAAATACATACTGGTTTGAAGACATTTTGGGTTTTCCTGTGTTTTCATAATGTAAAGCCTTCCTCTCTTTAAAGAAGTACATGTTCATAGCTAAACTTTGTCAAAGATTCTGTTTCTTCCTGATTACTATTAAAAATCTACATGTAGCCAGACATAGTGGCATATGGTGGCACTCAGGAGGCAGAAGCAGGTGGATCTCTGTGAAATTGAGGCCAGTGTGGTCTACATAGCAAGTTCCAGGACAGTTGGGGCTGCAAGGAGACCCTGTCTCAAAACAAAATTTAAAATATGTAAATTAGCACTCTCTTTAAATATTCATAAATGTTTCTATTTATTCTTCCCCCAGAGGCAATGCCACTTGCTTTGCCTATGGACAAACAGGTGCTGGAAAGACCTATACTATGATAGGAACTCACCAGAACCCAGGATTGTATGCTCTGGCTGCCAAAGATATCTTCAGGCAATTGGAAGTGTCCCAGCCAAGAAGGAACCTCTTTGTGTGGATCAGCTTCTATGAAATATACTGTGGACAGCTTTATGATCTTCTAAACAGAAGAAAAAGGTACTAGATATGAATGGGAAGCTGTAAATCTATACATCATTTTGAGCCAGAGCTCCACAGAATCACTTTAATCTCATGGACTTTAATGAGAGGTACTTTTGTACCTTTTGCATGGGATGCTCGCTCCTTCCTTCCTTCCTTCCTTCCTTCCTTCCTTCCTTCCTTCCTTCCCTCCCTCCCTCCCTCCCTCCCTCCTGGCTTCTGTATTCTCCCTCCCTCTTTTCTTCCCTTTCTTGTTTTGTTTTTTTAGATAGTGTCTTTGTATCCCTGGCTGGCATAGAACTTGTTAGGCAGCCTTGAACTTCTGAACTTTCTGCCTCCCAAGTGTTGGAATTACAGGCTTTTTGCCATTATGTCTTTTTTTTTTTTTTTTTTTGAGACAGGCTCTCCCTATAGCCCCAACTGGCCTGGAACTCGATACAGAGACCAAGTTGGCCTTGATCTTACAGAGATCCACCTGCCTCTGCCACTCTTCAGGCTCATTATGTCTATCTTAGATGCATTTTTTTTTTTTTTGGTTGTTGTTATTGTTGTTGTTTGACAGGGTTTCCCTAGTCCCAGCCCACCTGGAAGTCACTATGTTGACCAGGCAGGCCTCGATCTCACAGAGATCCCTCTGCCTCCCGGGGCTGGGATTAAAGGCACACACCACCATGCCCAGCAATACATATTTTTTAAACCTTTAGTACAGCTAGAGAAAATTTTAAGTTAGTCTTTATTAATACCTTTATTTTTCAGTGCTGGGGATTGAACCTAGAGCTTTCCACATGCTTGGTGATGAACTGCATTCTTAGCCCCCATTAAAGAACAATATTTATCCTAGTACCTATCAAGACTTTTCCTTTTTTTCCCCCTATGAAAAAGGTCATAATTGGAAGTAGGGAAAGCATGTATTTAAATCTCTTTTTTGGTGGGGAGTCTTTTTGAGACAGGGTCTCCCTGTAGCCCCAGCTGGCCTGGAACTTTCTATGTAGGCCAGGTTGGTCTCGAACTCGCAGAGAGCCATGTGCTTCTGCCTTTTGAGTGCTGGGATTAGAGGCGTACACCACCATGCCCGGCTTAAATCTCTTATTCTTTTGGCCTATTGTTATAGTAGAACTATAAATAATGTTTCCTACTTTCTCTTGTTTTCATTTTAAATAATCTTATTGTAAATTTAGCCAGGCGTGGTGGTGCATGCCTTTAATCCCAGCACTCAAGAGGCAGAGGCAGGCAGATCTCTGTGAGTTCAAGGCCAGCCTGGTCTACATAATGAGTTCCAGGACAGCTGGAGCTACAGGGTGACCCTGTCTCAAAAAGACCAAAAAAAAAAAAAAATTTTTTTTTAATGATAATTTTCTGAAGTTGGCAAAAAGAAATCTTTTACACATTCAACTTTTTCTTTTGTATGTATGTGTGTAGTGTTTTGAGACAAGGTCTCCCTGTAGCCCCAGATAGCCTGGAATTCCCTATATAGACCAGGCTGGCCTTGATCTCACAGAGAGAGATCTGCTGGCCTCTGACTCACTCCCAACCTCCAAGTGCTGGGATTAAAGGTATGTACCACCATGCATTCAACTTTTTTAAAGGATTTTATATAATTATTATTTTGGTCTTTTGAGATAGGGTCTCCCTGTCGCCCCAGCTGGCCTAAAACTCACAGAGATCTGCCTGCCTATGCCTCCCAAGTGATGGGACTAAAGGCATGTGCCACCATGCCCAGCCTTATTTTTATTATTTTTAAATATGTATATGGGGGGGCGGGGTGCAGGTACCCAGAGTGGCCAGAGAATCCCCTGGAGCTGGATTTACAGATTGTTGCTGAGCCATCTGAAATGGGTGTTATGCAAGAGCAGTATGTACTCTTAACCTTTGAACCCTACATTCAACTTATTTTTCTTTTTATGTTTTCGAGGCAGGGTTTTCCTGTAGCCCCAGGTGGCCTAGAACTCACTATGTAGACCAGACTGACCTTGAACTACAGAGATCTGCCTGCCTCTGCCTCCCAAGTGCTAGGATTAAAGGCATGCGCCACCACACCTGGCTACATTCAACTTTATTAAATTAAATTTTTATGTACTTATTTATTGTGTGTGAATGTGGGGAGGAGACACACCTTGTTGATCATGTGGAAATTAGAGGACAGCTTTCAGGAGTCAGTTTTTTCCTTCCACCATGTGGGTCCTGGGGATGTAACTCATGTTATTGAGCTTGGTGGCAAGCACCTTTACCCACTGAACAATCTCAGTGGGCCCTAGCATAAAGGTGTTTTGGTTTTTTGTTTGTTTGTTTGTTTTTTGTTTTGAGACAGGGTCTCCCTGTAGCCCCAGCTGTCCTGGAACTCACTATGTAGACCAGGCTGGCCTTGATCTCACAGAGATCCGCCTGCCACTGCCTCCCAAGTGCTGGGATTAAAGGCATGCGCCACCTACGCCTGGCTTTTTTTTCTTTTTTTCTCAGTTGAAACATTATTAAAACTGAGTAGCAGGCAAAAAGTTGTGAAGAAATCAATTATTTGGAGAGCAGAGAGGTGAGAGGGAGTAAAGAAGGTAGAAGAATAAAGGATTGTCATAGCAGAGTGAACTAACAGTGAGTTGTGAGGAGGGGTGAGTTGAAGTTGACAATGGTAGGAGGCTAGGAAAACCTGTCTAGCACCCCAGGAAAGTTATCCAAACCTTTATGGAGCTGTTCTAGGCAAGCAGTAAAATAGAGAGTGGTAACAGTTCCAGTTCCGACTCCATCAGAGAGGGGCATTAGATGTTGAATAGCTTAACTGAAAAAGCCAACAAGTGGACTTAGATGGGTCATTATCCCACTGTTCCAACAAGTCTTCAGGTATGTCATAGTCGAGAGAATATACAAGGTGTTCAGGGTTCAGTCCTGATAAAACTCTCAAATGAAGGAAGGTGCTGCTCAGGCAATACTTTGAGCAAGAGTTAGTTTTCTCTTTCATCCTCTTTGTATTGCTGTTTAAGTCTCCATGTACCTCAATTACACATTTCTTTCATCCCTCAGCACCCTCATTAAAAGGCTTTCTAAGCTGAGGATGTAGTTTTGTAGTAAAACACTCACCTAGCATGCACAAGGCCCTGAATTCAGTTCCTAGTATGAAAAAAAAGCTTTGCCAAGTATAGAGGCACAGACCTATAATCCTAGCACTCAGTGTGCTGATATAGGAGGATCACAAGTTCAAAGCCAACCTGGGCCGTATAGTAAGACTTTGTTTCACCCTCTAGTCTCCCAAAAGCTCTTTCTAGTCATAATGCCCACTTAAATAAAAGCCACTGTTGTTTGTTCTCCCCTCGCTGTGTGCATGTCTTGGTCTTTTGAGTGAAGAGATAATTGGGATGTCCAGCTGTTTCCAAATGTAGTACTTTAATGAATTACCCAGATTATTTTTATTCACCAGTGTAGCCAAGAAATGAGAGTACACTAACTCTTATATTTGAAGCTTTAAAATTTTTTTTTCTGTTACGTGTGTGTGTGTGTGTGTGTATGTGTGTGTGTGTGTGTGTGTGTGTGTGTGTTTCTGAGCCATCTGGTCAATGAAGTTCTTTTGAGGCTCACTCAGGAAGACCCACAGTTACTGTGTAAATGTTTTAGCCTATTTCAGCTTGTTTCTTTTATTTTCTATTTTATGTGTATGAGTGTATTGCCTTCATGTATGTGAGTGGCACCCATGTCATGCAGTGCCACAGAGGTCAGAAGAGGGCTTCAGATTCCCCTGGAACTGGAGTTAAGGATGGTTTGTAGCCAAACCCGGCTCCTCTGGAAGAGCAGTCAATGCTCTTAACTGCTGAGCCATCTCTCCAGCCCCAGCTTGTTTCTTTTTAGACCTCTAATTAGTTAATTATCTAATATGATCTTTTTGCTTTCCTGCTTTTCTGGGACTTCTCAAATGTTCTGATATTCTTTCCTAAATAATAAATTTTCTTTTATTTTTTTTTAATTTCTTTTTGTCTTTTTGAGACAGGGTCTCCCTGTAGCCCCAGCTGGCCTAGAACTCACTATGTAGTCCAGGCTGGCCTCAAACTCAGAGATCTGCCTACCTCTGCCTCCCAAGTGTTGGAACTGCAGGTATGTGCCACCACGCCCAGTTTAATAATATATTTTCTAAACTGGTAGGGTAGCACATACTCATAGTCCTCAGAATTTGGGAACCAGAGGCAGCAGAATCACTACATGTTCAAGGCCAGCCTGTATGTAGTGAGTTCCAAGCCAGTCTGAGATAGACTTAGACCTTATATCAACAAAAACCTAATAAAAAAAAAGGGCAGGCAAGATGACTCAGCCAGTAAAGGCACCTACCACCAAGCTTGACAATCTGACTTTGATCTCCAGAACCCACACAGTAGAAGAGAGAACAGATTCCTACAAGTTATCCTCTGACCTCTGTGCATGCACTATGGGTATGCATGCACACAAAATAAATAATTTCAAAAAACTAAAAAAAATATTTTCTGCCAGGCATGGTGGCACACGCCTTTACTCCTAGCACTTAAGAGGCAGAGGCAGGCTGATATCTGTGAGTTTGAGCCTGGTTTACATAGTATATTCTAGGCCTGCCAGAGCTACATAGTAAGACTTTGTTTAGTTGATTAATAATAATAATAATAATAATAATAATAATAAATAGTGTATTTTCTATAATAGTAGGTCTTTACAAGGCCTATATGCTAACTCAACTTCTTTTTCTTTTTTTGGCCTTTTTGAGACAGGATCTCCCTGTAACCCCAGCTGACCTGGATTTGCTATGGAGATCAGACTGGACTTGAACTCACAGAGCTCCGCCTGCCTCTGCCTCCCAAGTGCTGGAACTACAGGCATGTGCCACCACGCCCAAGGAAAAAGTATTTTTTGAGAAAGTAAATCCCTCTGCTATAAAATATCTTACTAAGGGATAGTAGTAGATTCAATACTTGCTTTTGGTGTACCTGATTTATTGCTGATGGCAGCCTATAACCATTTGTTACCTTATTTGCAGGTCCTAGGCATTCAAATGTAGCACTAGCTCTGCTTTCTTAGAAGAATTAGCAGAGCTGGGGGCATGGTGACATATGCGGTACTCTCAGCACTTGGTTGAAGCAGGAGGATCATAAGTTGGAGCCCAGCTTCAATTGCATAGTCAGCCCCTGTCTCAAACAAAACAAAAATTCCCCCAGATATGTATCAGGACTCCTTAGTTACAAATTTAAAAAACAAGACAAAACCACACTCCTGTCATATTTAGGCAAATCATTGACTCATATATCTGGAAAGCCTGGAGGACTTCCAGATTATTCTCATCAGATCAGAGATAAGATACAGTTTTTTGTTTTTTGTTTTGTAGCTCCTTGTTCTACTTCTGAATATTAGCTTCATCCTGAAGCTAGTTCATTTGTAGATATAGAATGGCCCCCAGGGCTCCCAGGGCCACCTGCTTTCTCTTCAAGAGAGAAAAGGAGAGCACCTAACAACCAGAGACCAGAACTGCAGTTCAATTAAACAGTAAAGATCCCATATCCACCCCTGAAGCAATCACTACCTAAGAATATGTCATCCATTGATTGGATTATATGCTAATTCTCTCTCTTTCTCTCTTTTTTTTTTTTTTGAGACAGGGAACTCACTATGTAGACCAGGCTGGCCTTGATCTCAGAGATCTACCTGCCTCTGCCTCCTGAGTGCTGGGATTAAAGGCGTGTCCCACCACAGCCAGCCTATGCTATTTCTTTTTAATGTTAGTCAGAGATGCTAATTTGTTTACAACAAGCAAGTACCACCACAGAAGACTGTAGCTGAATTCAGGAGGACCAGGGAGGGAGCATCTCCATCCGGTCCAAAAGACAAAAACCCTGCATAATGGAAGAGGGGTAGAATGGTTTCTGGGGAGGCAAGAACAAAGTCTGTTAATGTAGCATTGTCACACCAACCACATTTTTGCATGTATAGGCTCTTCGCAAGAGAAGATAGCAAACACATGGTACAGATTGTGGGACTTCAAGAGCTCCATGTGGATGGTGTGGAACTCCTCCTAGAGGTAATTAATTCCTCCTTCATTATACACCTATAGCAGCCTAAGTCCAGGGAGAAAAATGAGTTTTACTACCTAGCAAATACGATGGACTGAGATGGAGGCGGAGGGTAATAACCCCACTTCATGTTTGTGAAATATGAACCATCTTAGGAGGAGAGCTAGAGTAGGAGGTAAGGCATGTGGGAGAAATGAATGCATTGCCAAGGATACTCTTGGATCCTTTTCAAAGGCTGCTATTTCATTTTTTCTGTGGCTGAAAGCTATTGGAGACAAGTGTTCTTATGTTAAAGAAATTTTAACAAGCAATACTTGCACATGCTCTGAAATTCTGAAGACTAAACTGAAAAACCCTTTCATTCCCTTTTCCTAAGGCAACTAATTTTATTAGGTTTTGTGTACCTTCCAAAGGAATTTTGAAGTCTGCTTTTTTATTAAAAGTAATCCACTTATTATAACAAAAGTAATATTTGCTAATGATTAAATATAAAGATTACAGAAATATATAAGAAGTTAGAAAATAAAGGCTCTTTTACTGTCCTCACAAACTGTTTTTTTCTTATTCAGGGTATTTATAAACTTACGTACAAATATATTTCTAGTGAACTTCCCTTAAGGATCTTCAACCCTGCCTTTCCTGGAGGGTACAGGGGGAAAGCAGATGCTCTAGATCAAAGAAAGGACCTTACATATAACTAGGCAAGCACTCTATCACTGATCTGTGCCCCGCAACAACCCTGGCTTTATATTAGATCATTCATAGACCTTTTTTTCTTTGCTTAAAAAGCAACTTGCCAGGCATGGTGGCGCACACCTATAGTCCTAGCACTTGAGAGGCAGAAGCAGACGAATCTATGAGTTCAAGGTCAGGCTGGTCTACATAGTGAGTTCCAGGCCAGCTGGGGCTACAGGGAAAACCTGTTTCAAAAGACCAAAAAAAAAAAAAGAGAGCAGCTTAAAGGCAGAATTATAGGAGATGATTCTCCCTTAGTCACCTTCATATCACCTTTTGGCACCATGAAAGCCACCCAGTTTCCAGTTTAGTCCAATCTTGATTTCCCCCTCTCCTGTGCTCACATCAAACAGTGTCTTCAGCAGTAGGGTCCCTCTGTCCACTTCCGGTGTATAACCAACATTATTGGCAATGGCCTTTATTGTTTTGGGGACCTCCAGGCCCCTCAAGCCAACAGCTCATAGTGGGGTAACCCACCTCTGGCACTAGGATTTTCATTTAACAACCATATTTTTCTGGAAGGGCTTTCTTCTATCCCTGTAGGGTTCCTTTTGTGCTTAAGGTTTTTTTTTTTTTTTTTTTTTTTACTGTGTATTTTTTACCCTTTATTCCCATAGTTCTTTCTATACCCCCCCCTTAACTACCCCCTTTTTACATATTTCTCCCTTAGAAACACCTTTATCCTACTATTCTATTATTCTTCTCTCTCAGGTTCCTTCTGTCCCTTTACCTCCCTGTTTCCCTTCCATATTCTTGGTCCCTGCAGTTGTACCAGGAGATGCACTCACTTATAAGAATGTGGTGCTAGGATCCACAAATGAGGGAGAACATACATTCAAAAAGACCAAAAAAAAAAAAAAAAAGGTTTTGCAACTTGTAAGGGCTAAAATCCCTATTTGCTTTTTGGGGCTTTTTTGTTGTTGTTTTTTGTGTTTTTTTTTTTTTTTTTTTCTTTTGAGACATGATCTCCTCTGTAGTCCCAGCTGGCCTGGAACTCACTATGTAGACCAGGCTGGCCTTGAACTCACAGAGATCTGCCTGCCTCTGCTGGGACTAAAGGCATGTGCCACCATGCCCAGCTGAGATCACTTATTTGTGTTGTTATTAGATTCCTGTGTCTTGCAATCTAAAATTTGAGAATGGCATCTGAAGTGGCCTTTTTAGAGGGTTACCTAAGGGCCTGTTTCTAGTGATTACAAAGGAAGAACAGAACAAAAGGGTGAAGGCTGTGAGCGCTCTTAAGCTGTCCAGAATGGCCTCCAGTATGTAGTCAGAAGGAAATTGTTTCTCACATACCTGTTCACTGTGATCTTGCTCGCTAGCCTTCCTTCTTTTGGCCAGAAGGTTCGGGTGAGTCTGGTCCTTGGGATTCCTTCATCTGTAGCGATTAGGCCAATCAAACGGGAAAGGAGCAAACACTATGAGGAAATGCCTTTTCCTTGACTGTGGGCCACAACTGTGCTCCTCCCTCCCCGTGGCACTGGGGATCAAACCCAGGGCCATGCACGTGCCAAGAAAGCACTCTGCCACTGATTCATACTGCCAGCCCCACAACTCGGCTTAATATGCAGCCTGCATCACACCAGCCTTTCGGAACAGTCTATGGCATTGTCTGTCCTAGTGTTGGTCCTAAGAAGAGCATAAAGTTTTTCATTTGTTAACTTATTATTGTTTTATTGCCATTGATAACCCCAGTCTACAAAAGTACAAGCAGGAAGAGACTGCAAAGATAAAGGTGGGAAGTTAGTATAAATTATAGATACCTGACACAGTTACCCTCATAAACATTTGTTGACTTGAAACCATAGCACTTGGCTTAAATGTCACACTTCACTCTCTCAGGTGTCGATTTTCATGCCCACTCAGGTGTCAACCGTGTGTTTGCTAAAGTGTCTTCTTCAGGCATTATGCTTAGATAACCCTAAGGCTTACTCAAGCATAGCCATCCATTACTGTCTGCACAACCGGGAGCTTCATTTTTTACACAGGATTTCCCTTTCTCCAGGAAATTTCTCCTTCCAGGTATATTTGACTACGTGAACTTACCAGTGCAGCCACCAGTACTGCTTTGTCTTTACAGAGAACTTATTACCTCAATATCCTACCCAGATTTGGGGTCAAGATATTTTTTTGTCAGTTAAGGAACAGTTTTTTAGGTTTAGAGATTTGCAGGCTTAAGTCATTCCAATAGCTGTTTTATATAATCCTAGGTGTTCATTCTCAGGATTTCTGATACTTGTTCCTATTTTATTGTTACATTGTAATTGGTACCAAAGACCTATACAAGAAGAGGTACACTTTAGACCTCAGTTGTATGTGTAGAGACCATCTATACACAATATTCTGTATCTATACATAGCCTTTTAGCTGAGATCAGGAATAGCATACACAGTACTGACAACTGAAGTGCTTGTGATCCTTTGGTATTTGTGTAGGAAAGCTCAGTAGTTAAAAGTCAAATGGCCAGGTGGAGCTCGATGCTCTGACTCTCTTAATTCCTCCTCCACCCTTTTTTCCTTTCCTTCTCTTTTTGGCATGTACTAAGGAATCCATGGCATCTCAGGTTGATCTATAAAGCTATATTTCCCATGAAATCTGATTGTTGTACATTCAAGAAGAGAACTATTTTTGTTTTGGAAGTTTATATAAAGATATCACTTTTGTAAAGTTAATATTGTGAACTTACCATGGTCTGCATGTCTGCACAATCAGCACTATTTGGATAATGCCAAGGTATGCTTTTTTTTTTTTTTTTTTTTTTTTTTTTTTGAGTCTCCTGTAGCCCCAGCTGGCCTGGAACTTACTACACAGACCAGACTGGCCTCAAACTCACAGTGATCTGTCTGCCTCTGCCTCCCAAGTGCTGGGACTAAAGGGGGTCACCACCACACTCGACTCAAGGTATGCTATAAACTCAAAGCAGTGGCTCAGTCCCTTTGGACCACAGCTACTTTGACCTCTAAGTGCTTGGGCAGCTGAACCTGAGGAAACAGGGCACTTTAGCAGCTTTATCTTCTCAAGGGAGAGTTTTTATGTCATTTTGATTTTACATCTGGAGCCTGTGATGGAGTGTCTTACCAGTTTCTCAGATGTACTCTAGACATTGTTCCTATTGTCCCAGTGTAGAATGCATGGCTTCTGGCTGAGCGAGGGGATGGGTATTTGTATGCATGTGGAAGCCAGAGGAAAGTCTCAAATGTTGGTCAGACACTGTCTATTTATTATTTTTTATTCATGGGCATGTGTGTTTGTCCGTGTGAGTGTATGCTGTGTGTGTGCATGCTGTGTGTGTGCAGGTGCCTGCAGAGAACAGAAGAGAGTGTCACATCCTCTCAAGCTGGGGTAACAGGCAGTTGTGAGGCCTGATGTGGGTGCTGGGAACAGACTCAAGACTCCTCCAAGAGGAAATAGGTGCTCTTAACCAATGAGCCATTTCTCCAGGCCCATATTTATCTTATTTCTGAGACAGGGTCTTTCACTGGGACCTGGGGCCCACCAATTCAGCTAAGCTGGCTGGTCATTGAGCCTCAGGGATCCTCCTGTCTCTGCCTCCCCAGAACTGGGATTATAAATGCACACTACCACAACTGACTTTTTTACACAGGTGCTGGGGCTCAAACTCAGGTCCTTATGCCTACATGACAAATTTTGTCATTCAGCCATCTCCTTGCTTTTTTAATGGCACTGTCTTTAATAACCATACCTTGTTCACAGCTTTCAACTCACTCCTTTTCTGACAAGATTGCATGTTTTTGAAATCCTTCTCTACTTTTTGCCTCTGATCTTCACCATAAATCTAAAAGAAAACAGCCAGCTATGGCCTAAATGCTATGCTTTTTTTTCTGTCAAGTTAATTAGTTTTAAAAAACTAATTTAAAAACTTTAATTACCCTTTAAACTCAGCTTCCTATGAAGCTTCTGGACATGGACAATATGTAGACAAATTCTTCGCCAAAGTATAACACAAATGGCCTCTAATTCAATTCCAGGAGAGTCTAGCTCCCATCTGAAACCTCCTGAACACAGTCTTTTTTAAAAAAAAAAAAACTTAGGAAAAATTTTCTTTTTATTTAGTATATGAGTGTCTTGCCTGTATGTATGTAAGTGCACCCATGTCATACAGTGCCCTCAAAGGTCAGAAGAGGGCATTGGATCCCCCGGGACCAGAGTTATGAATGGTTTTTAGCTGTCATATGGGTGCTGGGAACCAAACCCAGTCCTCTGCAAGAGCAGCTACTGCTCTTAATCACTAAGCCATCTCTCCAACATCCCGCTCCCTTTTTTTTTAATTAAGATAGGGTTTCACTATATAATCCTGAATAGCCTGAACTCACTATGTAGACTAGACTGCCTGGATCTCACAGAGATCCACATGCCTCTTACTCACTACATTTCTGTCAACATTCTTGTCTTCTGAGTTTCCACCAAACCCACCCATTCAATTCTCTGCCTACAGTAGTTTAGGACTTAAGTAGCATTCATCTTCAAACTCTTCCAAAATCCTCCCAAAAAACACTTCTCAATAACCACATGATCAGACTTAGACATAACAATGTCCCAGCTTCTCTGGTACCATTTTCTGTATTTTTAATCACTGTAATAAAAATATCTGACATACCAACCTTCTCCTTTACCCTTTTTATCCCACCTGGATTCCTGGCCATAGGATGATGCTGCCTACATTCAGGGTGGGCCTTTTTGCCTCATATAATCCACTCCAGAAACTCCTTCATAGACATACCCAGAGATGCACCTCAAAATTCTGTCAAGTAGGTAACTAAATTTTATCAAGTTGATGATGATGAAGATTAAATGTCACAAATAGAATTCTAAAATTTGCTATTTGAATCTCACAGATAATCTTTAGAAATTTAACTATTTCTTAGACCATGGAAGAACTTCAATTTGGGGGGAGGGGCGGGGGGTTCTTTTTTTTTTTTTTGAGATAGGATCTCACTATGTAGCCCTGACAAGCCTGGAACTGGCTGTGTAGACCAGGCTGACTGTGGACTTGGATCCACATCCACCTACCTCTGCTGAGATTAAAGATGTGTACACCACGCTTGGCCTTTAAATTTTTTTTTACATTATTTATTGTGGGGGGGAGGTGTGAATGCCATAGTGCACATGTGGAAATCAGAGGGCAACTTGTGAGAGTTGGTTCTTTCCTTCTACCATGTAGGTTCCAGGAATCAAACTCAGGTCATTGGGCTCAGTGGCAAGAGCCATCTTGTTTAGAAGAACTTATTTTTGTTTCGTTTTGGGTTCTGAGACAGGCGTCATGTATCTGAAGCTAGCTTGGAACCTACTATGTAAGAATGACCTTAAACTGATGGCCTTACCTTCACCTAAGAGGTGAAGGTTCTACCACACTTGGTTTATGCAGTGCTAGGGATCAAGCCCAAGGCCTTGTGTTTGTGAGAGAGACACTACTACCCACTACTACCAGAATAAGTATCCAACAGCACTGAAAACAACTATATTTCCAACCCAGAACTTATTTTTAATTAGTTAAAAAAAAAAATTAAAGCCGAGCATAGTGGTGCATACTTTTAATCCCAGCAGAGGTGGAAGCAGGCGGAGCTCTGTGAGATCAAGGCCAGCCTGGTTTACATAGTTCCTAGCCAGCTGGGAGCCGAGGCTACAGGGAAACCCTCTCTCACAAACAAACAAATAATAAAATGAAAAAAAGATTAAAGCACCTGTTTCTACTCATTAAGATATTTTAAAGTCTGTTATTAAACTTGATTCTGTCAAGTTTTGGACTTAATTTAGAATTCAGGGATATGTTCAATGTGATATAAATTAAAATTCTGAAAGATTGAGAAGAAAAGTGAGATAGAACTTCCTCATCCTAATTCACCACAAAATAAATGAATTTATCCAAAGTGCACCACAGTGTAGTAGGAACCACATGAACTTTGGAGTCAGACATACTGAATGTGGACTTTGGATCTGCAATGGCACAGCTATTTGACTATAAGAAATCAACCTTTAAATTTGTTCCTCAGCTGTAAACTGGACATTGTAATCACACTTAACCCACATTAGGCTATTGTGAGGATTCTGTCAAATAATGTATAAAGATTTTTCCTTCTTTGATTCTCAGTTATCAGCAGTCCACCTATCCAAAATCAGGGTAGCAAGCCTGGCTGTGCCACAAGCGTGTAATTCCAACACTTAGGAAGCAGAGTCAGGAAGATTGCTGGTTGAAAGTCATCTACTACATAGTGAGCCCCTGTCTGAAAAACAGTCAGAACATCATGTTCATATATGGCTATGCTTACACTGATTGGAGACTAGAGGTCTGAGACATCACCTCCCGTCTTCCATTCCTTTGTGGCCAAAAGGTTCCAGTTAGTTTTGACTCCTAAACAGGGGTAAGGAAGTTACCCCTTGGTGTCAAGGGAAATTATGGGTTCATGAAGTAACTACTTCCCTCTTCCTGTATATCAGGCCTGACCTTCTTCATACCTGCATCCTGGTGGAATGGGTAGATGTGATCAGTCATTCCATGGTGCACATTTCTGTCCTTTGCTTCAGTAAGATAAGATAAATATTGTGAGACCTTGCTTGGGAGCCAAGTTATGCTCTGGGGATTTTAGTTAGCCTAGATCCATCAAAGATATTAAAAAGGGTATATAAAATCAAGAAGTAAATCAGCTCTTGAGCTGTTGAATGTTCTACCATAAGATTAGTATTCTGCATTGTTTTCATTGCTGTTGGGTACTTAGAATGTGTGATTTAGTGTCTCTGCAGCCTTCCACCTGGATAGAAAAAAACTGCAGTATGCTAACACAATTACATGCCTCACCTCTACTGCTTGCTTAGCCAACTTTTCAGAGTTTTGGTTTCTCCTAAAGGAAGTTAACATATGGATTGTAATTTCAGGTGATCTTAAAGGGCAGCAAGGAACGTAGCACTGGGGCAACTGGAGTCAATACGGATTCTTCCCGCTCCCATGCTATCATACAAATTCAGATCAAAGATGCAGCCAAGAGGACATTTGGCAGGTGAGCTGGAAATATGCAGAGAATTATATTGTCTGTCTTTCCTTATGTGACTTTGAAATATGCATGATCAACACAGGACACCCTGCCACCTTGGTTCTTCATTGCAGAGATACAGAGTAGTGTCATTAATCTTGAAATAAATCATTGTACTAAAGTGCCATCAGTTGATTAGCCATGAAGTAATGACCTATTGTTGGTCAACCCTAAGTTATTAAAAGGGACATTGATTGCTTCTAATATGAAACACAGTATCAGCAGAGAAACAGCAAGGAATGCTTCTCAGAGTTTGCAGGCCATAAATGGGGTGGGGTGGTAGGGGGAAAGCCATTCTTCTTTAAAGAAGATGTAAGACAATTGGATACATTCATTGCTTCTCTGGCGCTTTCTTAGCAAACTCTCTGCCATACTGATGGATGAGCCCATCTAACCTCTGAGTAATGAGTCTTTCTTTTCTTTTTCATCCTTTCTTGTTGTTAGAAAACAGCCAATAAAACTTCCTATTTAATTATCTGAGTAGTCACCTAAGTGATTTGCATTGTGGACATTTAGCCTTGTGGGGAAAATGCTTTATTAATTTCATCATACTTTCTCACGAATTACTAGACCCAGCAGAAATGTGTGAGTGAACAGTGCCAGCACCTGCTGACACATCAGAATCTTGTAATGTTTTTGGAACGTTAATAGTAATGTCTTTTTTTTTGCTGAGGATGAGCCTGGGTTAGTTTCTTCCTGAGGTCACAAAATGTCACCTAATGTGAAAATAAACCAAAGCCCCAAAGAAGTCATTCCTGTTGTGTCTTTTCTCTAGGATCTCTTTCATTGATTTGGCTGGCAGTGAAAGAGCAGCAGATGCTAAGGACTCAGACAGACAGACAAAGATGGAGGGTGCAGAAATAAACCAGAGTCTTCTGGCTGTAAGTTGTTCAGAATCTAAAAATCCTCGAGAGACTTTGCCCCTTATATATGACTGACATACATGCTGTCATCTGAAGTGGACTAGCTGGACTGAGGTTTGTAGGCAATCTCTCCATAGTGCTGGGCAGCTCTTCTCTCTCTCCCTGCTGCCTTTTCCTCTCATCAATCTCTACCAGTCAGGAAGAGAAATATATCTGCAGTTGGTAAATGGTTAGCTTAAAAAGCTTTTTTTACTCTAAATTATTTTATTTTATTTTTATGTGTATGACTGTATTGCCTGCATGTATGTAAGTGCATCCATATCCTGCAGTACCCATGGAGGTCAGAAGGTGTCAGATCCCCTGTAACTGGAGTTACAGATGGTTGTTAACTACCATGTGAGTACCGGGATTTGAACCCGAATCCTCTACAAGAGCAATCGGCACTCTTAACCACTAAGCCATCTCTCCAGCCCCTCTACTCTGTAAATTTTAAGATGTATACTTCAAGCATATAAACACAGCACAAAGAGTATAGTGATCTCTTATACTTGTCACCCAGTTTCAGCAGCTGAAAAACCCAACTAGGGCCAGCAAGATGATTCAGCCGGTAAAGGTGCCTGCTGCCAAGCCTGAGTTTGATTCCTGGGATCCACATGGTGGAAGGAGAGAGCTAACTCCTACAGATTGCCCTCTGACCTCCACATGTGTATGATGACACACATGTGCCCATATACATGTATTCACAAACAAGTATAAAATATTCAAAAACCTAATCAACCCTACCTTTCCCTTGGGTTGGATTATTTCATTTATTTTTACTGTGTGATATGTGTGTATGTGTGTAGATCAGAAGGCAACCTTTGAGAGTCTGTTCTTTCCTACCATGGTTTCCAGGGGTCACACTCAGGTGGTCAAGGTTTGTGAGGCAAGAACTTTTACCCACTGAGCCATCTAGCTAGCTCCTGATTATTTTATTTTAAAGGAAGCTCTACTCATCAAGCCATTTTATAAATATTTGATATATATCAAAGAAAAGGACTCTCTATTTTTAAACTTTTTTTGGTCTTTTTGAGACAGGGTCTCCCTGTAGCCCCAGCTGACCTGGAGCTTGCTATGTAGACCAGGCTGGCCTTGAACTCACAGAGATCCTCCTGCATCTGCCTCCCAAGTGCTGGAACTAAAGGTATGCACCACCAGGCCCAGCTTTTTAACATTTCTGTAATAACCATTATCATTCTATATTACCTACTATTCAATAAGTACTTTTAAAAATCACTAGGGGTTGGAGAGATGGCTTATCAGTTAAGAGCCCTGGCTGTTCTTGCAGAGGACCTGGGTTCGGTTCCAAGTACCACATAGTGACTAACAACTGTCCTTAACTCCAGTTCCAGGGAATCAGATGACCCTCTTCTGACCTTTACTACTCCATGGGGACTACACAACACGGTGCACTTACATACATGCAGGCAATACACTCACAACATAAAATAAAAATAATAGGGGCTGGAGAGGTGACTCAGTGGTTAAGGGCACTGACTGCTCTTGCAGAGGACCTGGGTTTGATTCCCAGCACCCATATGGCAGCTACAAACCATCCTTAACTCCAGTTCCAGGGGAATCCAAAGCCCTCTTCTGACCTCCACAGCATTGCATGACACAGGTGCGCTCACATACATGCAGGCAATACACTCACAACATAAAATAAAAATAATAAAATACTTTTTTTTAGAGTCTCTAGTTATCCCATAATTGTCTTTTTATGTTTGACTTGTTCAAGATGCAAACAATGTCATCCGTCAACTTTTCCCTATGTCCCTTGTTTTTTTTTTTTAATTATCAGCATACTTGTTTTAAAGAGGGGAAGGACACTTGTCCTTTAAGTTTCCCACATTCTGGACTTGGATGACGGCATCCCATATTGATGTTTAACATGTTACTCTGTTCTCCATATTTCCCAAAATGGTTAGATCTGTACATGTGCTCTCCAGTGTGGATAATTTGAATTAAGATGTCTATAAATGTAAAATACACACTGACTTTGAGGATTTATTATTAAGAAAGCATGCAAAATATATCAGCAATAGCTTTTCACATTCATTACACAGGAAAGCAATATTTTTAGTATCGTGGGTTGAATAACATTTGAAATTTCCATGACCTTACCTCCCGTGAATGTATTTTTAACATTTCTACATTCTGATTTAGTTTTCCCAACAACTCTGTATGTCAAGTTTAGCAGGTTCTTTCATCCCCACCTTATAGATTAGGATACTCAGGACAGATGGATTGAATGAATTGGTTAAGTATCCATAACCTCTAACCAAAATTTTGTGGGATTCTTTTTTTTTTTTTTTTTTGGTCTTTTTGAGACAGGGTCTCCCTGTAGCCCCAGCTATCCTGGAACTCACTATGTAGACCAGGCTGGCCTTGAACTCACAGAGATCCGCCTGCCTCTGCCTCCCAAGTGCTGGGACTAAAGGCGTGCACTACCACGTCCAGCCAGAATCTTTTACGGTATGCAAAGGTGCCCCTTGTTTCTTTCTGAATGTTTTCCTTGGCTCTCTTAGTGTTGAGTAAAGTTGTTGACCATTTTGAGTCACAGAATCAAGAAGGACTCAAGAGTTCATACTTAGATTGGTATCACTCAGGCTCACTGTTTGGTTACCTTTTCATCCTTTCTGGAGAATCTTTCTAGTGCTAAAGATGGGAGATATTGGATTGATTTTTAATAAGGAAGGATATCAGGGCATTATTTCATACACCTATAATCACCCTGTATTCCAGAGGAAGGCAGATCATGAGGGTAAGGCCAACCTAGGCTACAATAGTAAGTCCTCATCCCAGGGATTCAGTGACAGGAGAGGATGTTGCTTCCCTGATAACAGTAGGGAAACCTTGGGTTGTGGCGCTCTCTCTCTCTCTCTCTCTCTCTCTCTCTCTCTCTCTCTCTCTCCTCTCCCTCTCCCTCTCCCTCTCCCTCTCCCTCCCTCCCCCCTTCCCCTCATCTTTTTGATGGCCTTGAACTCACAGAGGTCCACCTGCCTCCACCCCCCGAATGCTGGGATTAAAGGTATGTGCCACCATGCCTGGCCTCTCCCTCTCTTTTCATTTACTGTCTCTTCCTTTGTCTTGCCCTTCCCACCCCGCCACTATTTCTGATGAACATGTTCCTAGAGGTACACCATGGTCCACCATATCCAGAATTTTGCCAGTCCTAGTGAAGACCAGTGAGCACCTCTCACCAAGAGCAAAGCTCAGGAGCAAATAACATTCCCTTGCTACAGTTACACCTTTTTAAAAATGAGAGGGTTGGGGCTGGAGAGATGGCTCAGGAGTTAAGAGCACTGACTGCTCTTCCAGAGGACTGGGGTTCTATGCTCTCTTCTGGCCTCTGAGGGCGTTGTATACACAGATACACTTACAGACATGCAGTCAAAACACCTCTACACGTAAAATGAAAATAAATAAATATTTTTTTAATTTTTTTATTTTATGTGTATGCATGTATTGCCTGGATGTAGGTAAGTGCACCTGTGTCGTGCAATGCCCACAGAGGACAGAAGAGGCTATTGGATGCCCTGGTACTGGAGTTACGGACAGTTGTTAGCTGCCATGTGGGTGCTGGGATTCAAACCCAGGTCTTCTGCAAGAACAGTCAGTGTTCTTAACCAGTGAGCCATCTCTCCAGCCCCCATAAATAAGTTTTTAAAGATAAAAATGAGAGCTGGAAAGCTAGGTGGTGGTGCACGCCTTTGTTCCAAGTACTCAGGAGGCAGAGGCAGGCAGATCTTTGTGAGTTCAAGACCAACCTGGTCTACATAATGAGTTCCAGGCCAGGTTGGGCTACAGGAAAACCCTGTCTCAAAAAGACCAAAAAAAAAAAAAACAAAAAAAAAAGAGAGCCAGGTGTGATGGCACATACCTTTAATCTCAGCACTCAGGAGGCAGAGGCAGGAGGATCTCTGTGAGTTCAAGGCCAGTCTGGTCTACATAGTGAGTTCCAGGTCAGCTAGGTCTACAGGGAGACCCTGTCTCAAAAAGAACAAAAAATAAATAAATAAAAATGAGAGGCTGAGGGCCATTGAGATGGCTTAATGGATAAAGGTGCTTGCCACACACAAGCCTGACAACTTGAGTTTGATCCCTGAAACCCATGTAAAGGTGAAAGAGAATTGACTCCACAAATTTGTCCTCTGGCATCCACGTGTGCCTACACACACACACACACACACACACACAAATATGATGATGATGATGATGGTGGTGATGATGAAGAAAAGCCAAACATGGTGGTATAATCCTCTACTTCCAGCACTTGGGAGGCAGAGATAGCGGATCTCTGAGATTGAGGCCAGCCTTGTCTGCATAGTGAGTTCCAGGCCAGCTGGAGCTACAGGGAGACCCTTGTCTCAGAAAAGAAAAAAAAAAAAAAAAAAGGAAAATAAAGAACTAAAATGAGAGGGCAGTGTGAGGCAATTTTTCAGCACCATTCTGCCTCTGATATAGAATTTCTCTTGCCCACTCAGGTTATATCCAGGTCTCAGCACCATTCTGCCTCTGATGTAGAATTTCTCCTGCCCACTCAGGTTATATCCAGGTCTCAGCACCATTCTGCCTCTGATGTAGAATTTCTCCTGCCCACTCAGGTTATATCCAGGTCTGTACTCGAATCTACACCTATAGGTGTGCATGTAGAGTAGGGGGAAGGGGAAGTGGCTATAGATATTTTCTCTACATGATCACACCAGGAGTTGGAAAGATTGTGAAGAGAACTAGGCAAGTTAGACTTACCACTACATAAGCTTAGACTCCAGGAACTCAGGGTAGGTTCCTGGGTTTATGTCTCTCACTACTCAGAGCTAATCTAGGATCACCACCTCTAAGCTGGGAGGCCCTTAGCAAGACCACACAGGATGGTATCTCCCAGTCTTGCTTGGTTTTACATATTGAACAGAAATGACAGGACATTTTGACCGTCTTTTAGGGAAATTGCCTGAGTGTGCATTATTTATTTATTTTTACATAATCTTAAGGGTTTCTAAATTTTATGTGTATGTGTGAGTGCATCCATATATGTAGATGTACCATGTGCATGCATGCCTGGTAGCTGTAGAGACCAGACCAGGGCATCAGATCTCCTGGAACTGGGTAGTGGGAACCCAACCTGGGTCCTCTACAAGAGCAGCAAATGTTCTTAACCATGAAGCCATCTCTCTAGCCCTTAAGATTTATATTTATTTTTTATTTATGTTAAGTATATATCAATGTGTGTGTGTATGCTGTGTGTGCTTGGGTGCCTGCAGAGGCCAGAAGAGGGCATTAGATAGATCCCCTGGAGATAAGTGTTACAGGTGGTTGTAAGATGCTTAGTGTGGGTACTGGGAACCAAACTTAGGTCCTCTGGAAGAGCAGCAAGTGCTCTTAACTGCTAAGCCATCTCTCTAGCCCTCTGAGATTTCTGTATTTAAGAAAAATAAGCTTGGAGCTAGAGAGATGGCTCAGCAGTTAAGAGCACTGATTGCTCTTGCAAAGGACCTGGGCTCGATTCCCAGCACCCACATGGTGGCTACAAACCATCCTTGACTCCAGTTCCAGGGGAATCCGAAGCCCTCTTCTGACCTCTGCAGCATTGTACAACGTGGGTATACTCACTTACATGCAGGCAATACACTCATAAAATAAAAATAATAAAAAGAAAAAAGAAAAATAAGTTTTAGCCAGGCATGGTGGCACACACCTTTAATCCCAGACCTTAGGAGGCAGAGGCAAGTGTATCTTTGTGAGATTGAAGCCAACCTGATCTACTTAGTAAGTTCCAGGCAGGCTGGGACTAGGGAGACCCTTTCTTTCTTTCTTTCTTTCTTTTTTTTCAAGATTTTTTAAAAATATTTTATTATTTTTATTTTGTGCATCTGCATGTATTGCCTGTGTGCAGGTAAATACACCTGTGTTGTGCAATGCCCACAGAGGACAGAAGAGGCTGTCGGATCCCCTGGAACTGGAGTTATGGACAGTTGTTAGCTGCCATGTGGGTTCTGGGATTCAAACCTGGGTCTTCTGCAAGAACAACCAATGCTCTTAACCTCTGAGCCATTTCTCCAGCCCCTGGGAGACCCTTTCAAAAAAATAAAAAGAAACTTTCTGTGGATATAGCATCTGATGTGTTATTTACTTGACATATGACACTTGATACGCTTGTTACTCTTCCACTTTACAGCTGAAGGAATGTATCCGCGCACTGGACCAGGAACATACTCATACTCCTTTCAGGCAGAGCAAGTTAACCCAGGTAAAGTTAAACAAGGGCTTTGAGTTTCTTCTGGTTATTTGTTGTTCCTTCTTCCATTATTTTGTTCATTTAGCAGAGCATCCATACCAGCAAGTCATGAGGCTAAACATACTGGGGAGAAGAGAAGGGAAGTGTCATTTTCCCTGCAGGAGCTTTCAGTCTACTAGGCCTCTGCAGAGGGAAAACACGGGCAAAGGTATCTGCAGCACCAGGGCAGCTAAGTCCTGAGAAAGTCACCATGCTCCTCTTGTCACCACTGTTCTAGTTTCATTGTTACTGTGAAAAAAACACTGACCAAAAGTGACTTAAGGTAGAAATAGGTTTATTTGACTTATACTCTGTATTAGCTACTTTTCTGTTGCTGTGATAAAACACCATGACCAAGGCAAGATACAGAAGGAAGAGTTTATTTGGCTTACAGTTCCAGAGGGGTAAGCGTCCATTTGGGGGGGGGGGGGGCGGTTCACAGGAGGCAGCAAGAGCAGAAAGCTGAGTGCTCACATCTTTAAGCATGAGCAGGAAGAGAGAATGAAACTGGAAATAGGGCAAGGCTATGAACTCTCAAAGACCACCCCCAGTGCTGTGCTTCCTCCAGCAAGCCACACTTCCTAAACCTCCACAAACAGCACCACCAGCTACTCAGGATCATGTACCAAGTGTTCAAATACTTGAGAGCCTATGGGAGACATTTTTTTTTTAAACCACCACATACTACCAGATCACAGTCCATCACTGAGGGAAGTCAGGGCAGGAACTTAAAAAGCCGAAGTGATGGAGGAATACTTGCTAACTCCCTTCCAGACCTGTGCTTAGCCAGCTTTTTAATACAGCCCAGGACCACCTGCCCTCTGAATATGCTGTTCACAGTGGGCTAGGCCCTCCTGTATCAATTAACATCCAAGACAACTCCCCAGAGACATGCCCACAGGCCAGTCTGATCTGGACAATCCCTTAATTGACACTTCCTTCTCAGATGACTTTAGGCAATGTCAAGTTGACAATTAACTAAGATAATACCTTTCCATGAAGAACTTTATTGCAGGTATGGAGGCATATACCTGAAGTCCAACTACTTGGGAGGCTGAGACCAGCCTGCACACCATAGCAAGACTGTGCCTCAGAAAATATAAGCAAATAATATGCTGAATATCATAGTGTGTGCCTGTGTTCCCAGCTACTCAGGGTGAGGCAGGAGAGTTGCTTGAGTCCATAAATTTGAGATCAGCCTGGGCAACACGAGATGCTGTCTGTTTACCCCTCTCCCTGCTTCATGCTGGGTATGGTGGCACATGCCTTTAATCCCAGCACTTTGGAGGCAGAGGCAGGCAGATAGATCTCTGTGAGTTCCAGGCCAGCCTTGGCTACATAGTAACATCCTGTCTCAAAAAAAAAAAAGTTATGATTGTACTATTTTAAAGCACTTTTTCTATTATATATGTAGCTCCATGGGGAAAAGTTTTAGAAGATAAGAAAAGCCAGCATTGTGTTATAACTTTCCATGTTATAAGAGTGTCCATGATGTGACCATTTATTGTTTTTATAGTTTTAAGAACATGCTATCAGGAATCAAAAAAAAAAAAAAAAAAAAGCTTGGCATGATGTGAGCTTTTCTCACTGAACCTGGAACCAGCTCCAGCAATCCTCCTGTCTCTGCCACACCTCAGCACTGGGATTATAGGTGCTCACAGCCATACACAGCTTTTTACATGAGTGGTGGAGATTTTAACTTGGGTCCTATGCTTGAGGAGCAAGTGTTCTTATCCACTGAGCCATCTCCTCAACACCATAAATGTTGGATTTTCTATGGCTTGTTTGCATTTCTCTGATTACTGATGAGTATCTTTTTCTGTTTATTGTTATTTGCATTTCTTCTTTTCTGAGATGCCTTTTATGGACAGAAGGGGGATAGCTATAGCCAGCATCTACATGCATAAGTAGTCAATATGGCCTTTGTTCATTGACCTATCTTCTGGTTTGGACAGGTCCTGAAGGACTCTTTCATTGGCAATGCCAAAACTTGCATGATTGCCAACATCTCACCAAGCCATGTGGCTACTGAACACACACTGAATACTTTGCGCTATGCTGACCGGTAAGTTGGCTCCCAGATGGCAGGTTGTATGTATGTCACATGTATTTGTGTAGTTGTTTCTCTCATACACAGGGATTTGATGTTGAACTCCACAGCTACCTTCTTGGAGGAACTAGTAATTTGAAAAATAGGACCTGATAAGCCCAACTTTTGGAGGCATGACAAAGAAAAATGGCACCTTTCTCTTTTCAAAAATTGACTCCATTAGTAGCTCTTCAATGGCTACTAGGAAATGAAGTGTTAATCTAGTGTGGTAAAATCCGAGCTTTTCTTCCTGCTGGCTTCAGCCCTAATTCTAGGAGATAGGATACGTATTTCTTGTTCAGGAAGAATCATAGAGTTATTAGGTCCAGTAAGGACCAATCTTAACACAGTAAGGATACGGTACGGCCCTGGGAAGGGTAGGAAATTTCCAAGGGCTTATCAGAAATTGGTGGCAGAGCTGGCACCTCTTTTAAAAAACAACAAATATTGAGTGTGGGAGGATAGCGTGCCACAGCATATATGTAGAGGTCAGAGGACAGTTTGTGGGAGTCAGTACTTTCCACCTTGGGAATCAAACTCAGATTGTCAGGCTTGGCAGAAAGGACCTTTAACTACTAAGCCATCTCTCTCTCTCCAGCCCTAGAGCTAGCACCTCTTGACTGCCTAGTTAGGCTTCTTTCTGAAGGGACTGCCAGTATCCCTCCTGTCTCTACCTTGGATGTAGTCAATCAATGTGTCTCTTACAGTAGTTAAGACATTTTTGATTGTTATGACTGAGGAATAGTGCTACTGGCATTTAGTGGGTCAACCAATGAGGCTAAACATCTTCAGTACACAGAATAGCCCCTACAATAAAGAATTTTATCTGGCTCAAAATGTCAATGGCGCCAAAGTTAGGAAACCCTGGGAATATATGTAATCTTTTCTTTAGTAGAATTAGTACAATCTGCTTATTTTTGTATGATTTATTTCCTGAAATGCCCAGCAGATTTGAGGGAATTCACCTTCTCAGAGAAGCCTGACAGGGAGCACTTTGCAGGAAAACAGAGCTCTGTTTGTGGAATTATATGTGAATAGTAGACATGAACTCTTCAGCCCATCTTCAGAGCATGTGGCAGGATCCTGAGTGAATATAGTGTAGTTCTGAGACTTGTATTCCTAACCTGTCCCTCATATGGAGCCATGGTGATTTCCAAAGCTCTTCTAAAGCACACCAGTACTCAGGAGGCAGAGGCAGGCAGAGCTCTGTGAATTTGAGGCCAGCCTGGTCTGCATAGAGAGTTCAACAGGCCAGCCAAGGTTACATAGTGAGACTCTTTCTCAAAAAACAATGGACTGGAAAGTTGACTCAGATTAAGAGCACTTGCTCTTCTTCTAAAGGACCCAAGTTCAGTTCCCAGCATCCATATGGTGGCTAACAACCATCTGAATTCCAGTTCCAAGGGATTTGATGCCCTCTTCTAGCTTCCATGGGTGTTGCATGCCTGGGTGCAGGTAAAACACTCATAAACATAAAATAAATAAAATTTTAAAACAAAGCTGGCTGTGGTGGTAACACCTTTAATCCCAGCATTCAAGAGACAGAGGTAAGTGGATATCTCTGTGAAATTGAGGCCAGCCTGGTCTATACTGAGTTCCACACCAGCTGTGGCTACAAGGGGACCCTTTTTTTTTTTTTTTTTTTTTGGTCTTTTTAGAGACAGGGTCTCCCTGTAGCCCCAGCTGGCCTGGAACTCATTATGTAGACCAGCGTGGGCTCAAACTCACAGAGATCTGCTTGCCTCTGCCTCCCAAGTGCTGGGATTAAAGGTGTGCACCACCATACCCAGCTTTTTTTGGTCTTTTTAAGGCAGGGTTTCCCTGTAGCCACAGCTGGCCTGGAACTATGTAGATCAGGCTGGCCTTGAACTCACAGAGATCTGCCTGCCTTTGCCTCACAAGTACTGAGATTAAAGGCATGCACCAGCACGACCAGCAGGAGACCCTATCTCAAAAACACAAAACAAAAAACTTCTAATTCGAGAGTGTTAGATTCCTGCTTATATTTTCAGAGACAATATTGATCACTTTTTAAATTCAAGTTAGTGGGACACTCATGTTAGAATAGAATGTACCCTTTCCCCTTTTTTTCCCAGACTGGAAAAAAACAACAACAAAAAAACAAAAACCCTCCTAACCCTTGTAATACTTCTCTTGGGTTTTTAATTCCCTGAAAGGGAATCACAGGCATACAAAATTATACATTCAGCATTTTAAATGTCTGTTTACAGGGTCAAAGAACTGAAGAAAGGCATTAAGTATTGTGCTTCAGCTACCAGTCGGAATCAGATACCTGGAAACTCATCTCCAAAAGGAATTCAGAACTCCCCCGTCACCCTGCCAGGGGACAAGAGTTCTCCAAAAAAAGTTAAGCTGGGACTTCAGCAGTCAGTTACTGTGGACCCTGGCTCCACAAGAGGGAGAGCCCACCCTCTGGCCAGCCATGCACCCAACATCCCCTTTTCCTCTGTCCCTAAAGTCCCTGGTAAAAGGGGTGTCTCCAGAGGGAGTCCTTTACAAGAGCTGGACACAAAGGCTAGCCATTTCAAAGGAACCATGCGGTCTGGGCATTTGGCCAAAAAGGGTGCAGAAGAATCAGTATCATTGTGCTCTGAGAAAAATCAAATTGGCAACAAGACTGTCACTGGCTGGGTTAGCAGAGCCTCGGGCCCAGAAGGCCTGCGGCAGGGGAAGCTACCTGCCAGATGTAAAAAGGTGCAGACTGTGCAGCCAGTACAGAAGCAGCTCGTGTCACAAGTTGAGCTCTATAGCAGCAGCCACCACTTAGCAGAGGACAGTCAGGAGAGCAAGGGGGGCATGCCGTCCAGACTTAACTCTGAAGCTTGGACCGACACCCTTCCACATCAGAAGGAAAGGGAGGAACATCTGCGCTCTTATCACCAGCAGTTCCAACAGCCACCGCTTCTCAAGCAGAAGTTAAAGTATCAACCACCAGAAAGGTTTTTATGTCAACACAGGCCCTCAGAGGGTCAGCTCCAGGATGAAACTGTTGCCCCCCTCCACTCTAACCCTGAGAGCCATGATGGAGCCCAAGCCGAGGACCTCGATGACAGTGATTTCAGTGAAGATTCTTTCTCACATGTCTCCAGTCAGAAGACCACAAAGCAGAGGAATACCCTAGAGAAGAGTGAAAGCTCGTTCTTCCTTCATCAGAACAGGGAGCAGTGTCCAGAAGAACAGACAGCAGAAAGGCGACAGTGCTTGTTTTTCAGCTCTGGGACAGATAGTGATGAAAAGGGTCCAACTGAAAGCTGGGTATATTCCAGGGACCCCATAATAAGCCATAAAAGAGCAGCACTCAGTCAGAGCCACAGCCTAAGTAAGGACTCTGCTTCCTCAGGGCCTTCTCCCAGAGATAACCTGGCAGAGAAGCCTTCCTGCTCACAAGTAGATCATATGTACCACCAAGAAAGAGCTCAAGCCTTTGACATTAGACAGGCGGCCTTCAGAAGTGAGGTTTCTGGGCAGGCTGAGGGCAGCTTGGCATCCCCAGAAAATGATTTATCCTTCTCACTATCCCACATTGCAATTCCTGGCTCTCCAGACCAAAGAGACGCCACACCACTGAGAGAAGTCAGTGAACACAGTATGACTCAGGCATCTGAAATGGTACAAAGTAGTACTCCTTTCCAAGAAGACTCTAGAGAGCACCTAGATATTGCTTCTGGACTAATGGCACCTCTCACTGTGTCCCTCCTGAAGACCCCTGAGGAGGACCCTTCTCTCTTGGAACAGCTGGCCCAGGATGGAATTGTGCATGGTCTCATGGCTGAGATCACAGGCGGCCCAGCCGTTGGGCACATGGTATCATCTTCTAATCAAGAGACAACCTTGCCAATGTCTCTGGAAACTGGGCACCTATGGCTATCCTCATCTCCCCCTGACAATCAGCCAGGTGGTGATCTTCCAGCTCTGTCCCCATCACCCATCCATCAGTATCCACCTGACAAACTGCCCAATAGGAGGGCCTGCCTCAGCAGAAGACCTGCACTCTTCCCCCAGAAATATGTGGGTGGTGAGCCATATGATGCTGATGCCGAAGAGACTGAGCTGAGTGGCTCCTGGGGGTTCCCAGAAAAGCCCCTTTCAACCATACATACTGGAGTGCCCAATTCTGGACCTTCACTCACCTCGTGTACAGGAAGTAGTGATGTAGCTGGTTACCCCTGGGCCCAGGAGAGAAAATATCCTACACAGTTTGGTTGGCAGGAGTGTGGTTCATCCACAGACCCCACAAAGCCCTGCTATAATGAGGACATCTTGTGGCTCAAGCGCAGGCCAATCTCAAGATGCTTAGCATTGCTAGACTCTCCCCTGGTCCCTAGCTGTTCTCTCAAGGCCTTGGGGACACTCTGTCAACCCACCCTGGAGCAGGCACAGTAAGTTGAACTTTCTCCTTAAGACTTGAGCCCCTTCAGTGCCCCATTCTCTCTCTGGCTTAATGTAATACACAAAGAGAAGGCCATGCATGGAAAAAGAGCTTGCCTCTGGGTGGATGATCTTGCTGCTTATCAGTAGAGTCCGACCAAAAGCAAGTTATTCGGCTTTTAGCTCAGACCTAGAAATGAGACTAGACCTTGTGCCCCTTTCGCAGGGAAGCCACAGGAACTAGGCAGCTCTGAGACAAGACCAGGGAAGGGGGCAAGGGGTAGCTAGCTGGCCCTGGTGGAACGCTTTACCACAATGGGCAGAGGGAGTTCCTAGCCTGAAAATGTGACTCAATTTCCAAAGGCTGCCCCAGAGAGGATGGGAGGACAGGAGGGATCACAGTTTCCTCTCCCGTCTTCCCAGGCAGATGGTCATCTGTGCACACCAGGAACAGCTAGATGAAATGGCCAAGCTAGGCTTCAAGGAGGAGACCCTGATGACCCAGTTGGCTTCTAATGTAAGTAGCCTTGGTTGGACACGAGCAATTCAGGAACACTAATTACTGTTGAGGTCTTCTGCCTCCTTCTGCCACATCATCAGAGGTATGGGTACAGGTGGGAGAAGATGGTGCTACACTGTCCATTCCCAAGCTAAATGGTTTCAAGACTCTTTCCTTAGCCACTCTACCTTCCTAGTGGCTTTTGGGGGCCCCCACCCGTGATTTTAAGTAATGACCAACGTGCTGCCTACAACATGCAGACAAGGATTTTCTGTGTAAGCACCCCTTAACGGAATATACCCTCCACCTACAAATTGTCTCAGATGCAGAGAAGGGGGCCCCACCCAATGCCACAGAAACTCTTCCAGGTTTTCTCCTGGAAGGAGGGACTAGAAGAGATGATCTGGCAGAGGACCAACAAGAGAAAAGCACCAATTGTCTTTTTCCCCTCTCAGGATTTTGAAGATTTTGTTACCCAGCTGGATGAAATTATGGTTTTGAAGTCTAAGTGTATCCAGGGTCTGAGGAGCCAGCTGCAGCAATACCTCACCTGCCACAGGCCAGCTGCAGCCCCTGAGAGAACAGTGGCATCTTAGAGGAAGATCTCACACTGGATGGACAGTGCACTCTGGGACTGGAAGAGACGCCTACCAGGGCCTCCTGCACATACCCACTCCCTGTTCTGTCTATGCTAGCCTCACCCCAGCCCCAGCTACTCAGGGACAGACCTCTATCTCCTCAGTTCCCTAATTTCATGACCATCTGTAAGAAAGGAAGGGCTAGCCTGAAGAACTTAATGCCCCCTCCTATTCTTTGGGCTCAAAAAGCATTTGCTTAGCTAACCACATCTATGGGAATATGTCTGGATTTAGTAACTGTAAATTTTCCAATGTTTGAGGATGAGAGTGGGATGGTCACTGGTAACCTGGAGATCAGGTCATAAGAAACACAGCATGCTGAGCCAGCAGCGTCATCAGCTGACATGTGTTTTTCTGTGCTAGCCAGGCTGGCGAGGCAAGCTCTTTTCCTCACAGTTTTTTGGGAGAGTAGAGATTTTTTGTTTTTTGGTATTTTTGAGACAGGGTCTCCCTGTTGCCCCAACTGTCCTGGAACTATGTAGACCAGGCTGACCTTGAAAAGATCTGCCTGCCTCTGCCTCCCAAGTGCTGGGACTAAAGGCATGCGCTACCCACGCCCAGCCAAGATTTAGTTTTTGAAGATATAAAATGAATAACCCTTCCCATCTTTAACAGCATTTGGGGTGGGCTTTGCACTTACAGTCCCTCTCTTCCTGCAGTCCAGTTTGGAGACATCAGAGTGCCTATGGCGCTGCATTTTTCTTTCTCACTCCCCTTTGCTGAGGTGGCAGGCCTCACTCCTGCCTGTGACTCCTCACCACGACCTCTCCTTGTGGTGATTAGATGAGCTGAAGGGTCTCAGTAAGTCCACTGCTAGGTCTGCATCTTCCAAGACACCACGGCCAGCCATCAGTATCTTGACAGTGAGTGCAATAATCAGTAGTCTGGACTCTGCCATAACTCTACACAGCCATACCTTCCAATGAGTTTTGCTTGCTGTATTAACTTTTGTGTGTGTACAGGTATAGGGTGCATCTCACTGCTGATTTGGCTAAACAAGCTGGCCATCAAGCCCGGGGGATCCTCCTGTCTCACCTCCCCAATGCTGGATTACAGGTACACGCCACTGCACCAGGCTTTTTACAGCTCCTGTATTACTTTTAGCAGAAAGAAGCTCTAGGAAAATAAAGCCACCTCCAGGGGTCCATCACTTTTTAAAGTCTTCCCCTAAGTTGTTAATAGTCATGTGGACGCCCACTACCACATGAATTTAAGAACCGTCTAGCTGGGCATGGTGGTGCATGCCTTTAATTCTAGCACTTGGGAGGCAGAGTTTGAGGTCAGCCTAGTCTACAGAGTGAGTTCTGGGTTTTAAAGAGGACTGCCTAAAAGGCCAGGATAAGCCAAGTATGGTGTTTCTCACTTGTAATCTCAACATTTAGGAGGCTAAGGCAGGATGAGAACTATGAATTCCAAGCCAGCATGAGATACAGTGAGACCCTAGCTCAAAAAATAATTTAAAAGACCAAGGGTTAAATGGCTCTCCAACTACTTGGTCTGCCCCAGGCAGTGCTTGAACTAACCACCAGAGGGTAGCCTGTTTCCAGCTTAAGGCTCTGCAGCCCATCACATACACACTAAAGACTAAAGAGACCATTCCCAGTGAAAAGCCCCGAAGTCAAGTGGGCTAGTATTAAAGACTAGAAACTTTAGGGATGCATTCTGTGGGCTCCAACAGGGTTACGAAACTGGGGAAGCACACTGGTCTTGCCTGGGGCTGCAAGCATGGTGGTGCTGGCAAAGGGGCTTTTCCTTATCTCCTAAAGGAATTCCTTTAAGTCTAGCCTGTCTTACCTCCATACTCTGGCAGGAAAGCAGTATGTCCTTGGCCCAAAGACTGAGCTAGGTCAGGTTTAAACAGATCCTTATCTGTGCCTGCACTTGTAACTTAAGTCCAGAGAAGACTAGACAGGCCTCCAGAGGGAAGAAAATACTGAAATGATAGAAAAAGCCTAGGTCCTGCTCCAGACCAGATGACTTTGCCATCCTCCCTCCTGAGTGAAACAGCTCTTCACAATGAAGTTACCACAGCATACCATACCTTTTAGATTTTTATTAGTTCTCTGAAGAATCAAAATAGTTAGCAAATTATTTTAGATTCGTCAAGACTATGTATATCCTTTGTATTTAGATCTTTAATGGTGTACAACATAATACAAACAAACCAAAGAGACTGATTTCTATGCCTAGGTGTTACTCATTGTGTCGTCCTAAAGTAGGGCTGGAGGCTGTTCAAAAACGGGGGTTAGTGCTGGGTGACTTAAGTTGTGGCCTGTTTTCTCACCCACTGAGTGGAAGGGGCCAACAATTATTTAAAATGACAACAGCTTCCTAGAGCTGGGGCTCCAATGCCCTGGGCAGCAGAGGATTGTGGTCTAAGCCAAAAGAAACAGTCTGGACAGGGAAGCATGGGAACTGCCTGGCAGAAGAGGCAGACTTTGCCCCATGAGGAAAAGTGCATCCTTTGTACCTCAGAAACATTACAGAACCAGTGTAACACTAAGGACTGTTGGAGGGAGGGGTAGACCCTGAAGAGCCTTTCACTTGCATTCAACTTAGGTTAATGTTCAGTCTGCCAGTGCAGTAGAGGGGAAGCATCTAGTAGCCCCAGTGCAGCAGCAGCAGAGTCTGGCCCATCCTCCTTTCTCCCCAGTCCTCTTGGAAGCAAGACCAGGTTTTGGCTGCAGATCATAGAGACCCCAGAAATATCTAAGTATTCTTTCTGAAAGGCCAAGGTGGGAAGGACACTTCTCAAAATACAAATATGTTTAACATGGAAGGAGCCAGGACAGGCCTGGGGCATTCATATCCCCAGATCTTCCTACTTTCTCCCCAGTTCAGGTCCTGGGCTCACAGAGACTGACAAGTATAGTCTCCACACCTGACCACCTAACCCCCCAAAGAAAATCTGGTGTCCCTTCTCCTTCCCCACAGGTGAGCTGTTCAGGGCCTCCTAGGGGATAATCGTTCCGTGGCAGGGCTTAGGCAGGGTCTGGTCTCAGCTGGCTCCAGCCCGGGCCATGAGGTCTTCCAAAGCATTGTCCTGGTCATTGTTGTGTAATAGCAAAACTTCCTTAATGTCTTTTAGTTCAAAGCCCATTTCCTTAAATTTGCTCATTAACTGAAGAAATTCCATCATCTATGGGAAAGAGAACAGAAATTAAAGGAACAGACACCCAGGCAAGCTGAATGCAGAGGAGTACTGGCAGTAGAGGAATATGTATTCTTCAACCAGAGTCCCATGAGGTTCTACCTAGTAAGCAGAGGTGGGCTGTGTACCATAGCAAAAGGATTTGATACCACAACCCACGTCCTTCCAAGAGCCATGCCTAGTCACAACTCACTTGCTGACCTCTCTCTGAATCCCACTGTCCACACCAATAATCCCACCAAGACAAAGTATTGAAAGGTTGCTCTCTAGGGAGAAGAGGTGACAAAAAAACCTAACAATGGCCAAAACCACCCAAAAGCTTGGCAATTTTCCCTTTCCATCACTGTGATTCTTCAACTCACTGCTTCATCTACACTGATGGGGCCCTCATCCTGTCTCACAGCAGTCAGTGGCAAGGAAGCAGGGTGCTGGACCAGAGGACTATGGACTTTGTCCCTTTATCCTTTTGCAGAGGGTTCCCATGAATGCATAAAGGTTCTCACCTTTTCTTCTGAACACTGGTGCATCTCCAGAGCCTCTTCCACTAAAAGAGGGTCAAAGCCTTTCTCACAAAGCTGTCCATGTGCGAAGAGATAGTCGAGAATCTAAGAAAAGAAACGAGGTTTGAGTACCTACTGCCACTCTTGCTGAAGTCTCTGCTCTCTGCCCCACCCAAGTCAGATCCTGGACAGGACTGGATTTTGTTCCTTGGACTGTGGTCAGTACAGCATAATCTCAGTAACTACTTAGCACACCTTCTTCACTTGAGCAGCCATTTCCCAAAGGCAGTGCTGTCACAGCTGACTCACAATTCCAAGAATGTCAACTTCACAGCCAGGGCATAATCACAGTTCTTTTTTAAAAAAACCTCATGTCAGAAAATGCCCCCAAGGTAGAAGACTACAGTATACTATTCAGAACTTCCTGGGCAGCCATGACAGGAATGGTGCCATATACTTGTAATGCCAGCACTCAGGAGATGGCAGGATCAGGAGTCAAGCCCAACCTCAGCCATACAGTAAGTTCAAAGTCTGACTGAGCTATACAAGACTATCTCAAAAAAAGTTTCTAAACTGAGACATCTAACCGTATACCCAGTTTTGTCCTCTGGAGATACAGATAAAGGGGTAACTAGATGACAAGCCAACAGCGCCAGTAGCCACCCCCAGGTTTCCCCTCAGTCCAGGTCTCTGAGTAGTCTGCAAAGGCATACTGCTGCTCCAGCTTCTGGTCTCCCTGACAGTAATGCCCCAAAGTCCCCACAAACCCGTAGGTGAGGAGGCTGGTGCTGCAGGGAGAGACTCAAACAAGCAGATCACACCCCCAACTTGAGATCAGAAAGCTCCTCTACCACACCCCTGAGGACCAGCACCTCACCTGTTCAATATTCTCTCCTTTCTTCTTCATGGCTCTCAGGACACATTCATATGGGTAGCCCATGCTGACTACTGTCTCCACACACTGCCGCTCACTAGGAGACAGTGCCTGCAGTTCTGAATAGGCCTGGGAACAGCTGGGCATGTTGGGCACTTGTGACACTGAGAAATTCAGAGGGGTGACCTGGTAAGTAGAAAAAAAAGATTTAAGTAAGATGACTTGATGCTCAGGAAACATGTCACTGAGGTAGGGCCAGGTACTGTGAAGAGGCAGTGAAGATGTGTACCAGGTACCAAGCCACGAGGAGAAAAGGCAGGAAGATAACTGAAACACTGGGTGCCCTCACCCTCAGCCCCCTGCAGAGTGAGAAAGCACACAACAGCACAAGCTGTTCCATGCCCAATACCCCTGGCTTAAAAAGTTCTGAGTTTGCCAGGCATGGTAGTGCATGCCTTTAATCCCAGCACTTGGGAGGCAGAGGCAGGCAGAACTCTGAGTTCAAGGCCAGCCTGGTCTGCACAGTGAGTTCTAGGCCAGCTGGGGCTGGCTACAGGGAGACCCTGTCTCAAAAAGACAGAAAAGAAAAAAAAAAAAATCTTAGTAAAATGCAGATTAAAAAAAAAAGGTATGAGTTTAACCTACCCACAGGACTAATGTCTGAGCTGGCTGTGCTAATTTCTTTCCAAGTCTCCATTAACCCTTTCCCAGCCACTGTATCTGAGTCCTAAAGGGATCATTCACATCAAACTCCCACTCTGGAATAGACTATCCCAGTCTCTCTCCTGCTTCTACCACTGGTCTGAGCAGAGGCTTCCCATGCATGTTAGCTCAGGACCTCAGGGTTCTTGGGGTACTTACTTTGTCCTACATCACACTCTGCTTCATTTCCTGCTAAGGCAGCAGCATGCTGTTCTCTGGAGCCATGATGGAGGGACTATTAGCCATACACAGCTGACTCCAGGCCAGTGTACTTCACTGGCTACATACAGCCTGCTCCCTACCACAGGATCTCACTAACCCTTACCTAACTGGTGTACACCTCTGAAGTATAAGGCACAAAAGGTAGCTCAGCTCATTCCAAAGCCAAAGGACCCACCCACCATGGGACATGATCACAAGCCTTCATTATTTAGCTCAGTTCCCAAGAACATTTTATAAATTCTTTAATTCCTTTTTCTGGTGGAGGAGAGTGAGGTAATAAGAAGTCCTCTGTCCTAGAAGCAAGTTCAAAATTGGATTACTATAACAATACGTTTTCAAACTCTGCTGAGGAAAGTCAGGAAGACTACAGGCCTTTAAACCACTGGTTTCCATTTTACTACTACTTACAACATGCTCTAGGCAGTCCAGTCTCAGAGGCTTCAAGAGATTACAGGAGCCTTGGAAGAGTAAAAGCTCTATACACAACCAATCTAACCACTTTGCAGGCCTTAGGATTCCATCTCTCTCTAAGAAGAGGCCCTGCTTGGGTCAATAGCACCAGCATTAAAAAACCAAAGAATGGTCTCACATAACTAAGCCCAACCAAAGAGTTAGTGCTGTTGTTCAAATAAGTGCCTTTCCCATAAAGCCTCCATCACAACACCTGGTGGGATGTGGGCATATGCTTCTAATTTAAAATATGGGCAGTCTTGCCGGGTGTGGTGGCAAACACCCTTAGTCCCAGCACTCAGGAGGCAGAAGCAGATGGATCTCTGTGAGTTCAAGGTTAGCCTGGTCTACACAGTTCTAGCCAGCTGGGGCTACAGGGAGACCCTGTTTCAAAAAGACCAAAAAAAAAAAAAAATTGTGCACACTATGCTGTTGGGAATGTTACTTGGTATCTTTCAGGTAAACTTAGCCGTATGTAAACCTGAAGAATGATCAGATTCTTTGATCTAGTTGCATACTTCTAGTGACCTAGTCTTGGGAAAAAATAAAGTGCGAACTGGTATTTATGTTTAAGAATTGTTATTTCAGGGGCTGGAGAGATGGCCCAGCGATTAAGAGCACTGACTTCTCTTGCAGAGGACCCAGGTTCGATTCCCAGCACCCACATGGCGGCTAATGACCATCATTAACTCCAGTTCCAGGGGAATCCGAAGCCATCTTCTGACCTCTGTGGCACTGCATGACACAGGTGCACTCACATACATGCACTCACACACATAAAAATAATAAGCTGGGCATGGTGGTGCATGCCTTTAATTCAGCACTCAGGAAGCAGAGGCAGGCGGAACTCTGGGAGTTCAAGGCCAGCCTGGTTTACATAGTGAGTTCCAAGACAGCTGGGGCTACAGGGAGACCCTGTCTCAAAAAGACCGAAAAAAAAACCAAAAAACCAAGAATTGTTATTTCAGCTAGGCGTGGTGGCACACGCCTTTAATCCCAGCACTTGGGAGGCAGACAGAGGCAGGTGAATCTCTGTGAGTTTGAGGCCAGCCTGGTCTACATAGTGAGTTCCAGGACAGCTGGGGTTACAGAGACCCTGTCTCAAAAAAAAAAGAAAAGAATTGTTATTTCAACATCATTTGTAATAGATATTAGGGATTGACTAAATATCCAATAGATTATTATAATAAACAGCCATATGACTTTTAAATGTCACAAATCAGACATGGCAACACACCAATAAACCCATCACCCAGGAGGCTAAAGCAGGAGGATCAAAGCCAGTCTGAACTAAAAGGTTTATTAAAATCTTGTCTCAAAAAAAATAAATAAAATGCCATTGTAATAGGGCTTGGGGCTGTAGGTCAGTAGTAGAGCATGTTCAAAGCCCTAGAGTCAATCATCAGCACTTCCCAAAATAATTCAGTGGTTTATATTAAGTGAAAACAACATACATATGTGTATATACATTCTTTCCTCTCCCTATCTGCTCTTGCTTTGCAGTCTAGTTTGTCCCAGACCTGGGGGAACCTCTTGCTTCAGCCTCCTGAGTGCCAGGATTACAGCTACCATGCCTGGTTTAAGATGCATGGCTTTGTTTTTGTTGCTTTGTATTTTTGACAGGATCTCAGCCTGCCTGGAAGTCACTATATAGACAAGGCTGGCCTCAAACTTGAAGAGATCCACCTGCCTCTGCCTCCCAGGGAATGCACAGGATTTTATAATTTGTGATTATTATTTATGTGGATGTGTGCACGCACATGTACATGGCAGGTGCCACAGGGGCCAGAAGAGTATCAGATTCACTGGACCTGGAGTTACAGGCAACTGTTGAGTCTCCAGAGGTGGGTGCTGGGAACCTAACTCAGGTCCTCCGGAAGAGCAGCAAGCAATCTCAACCAAAGAGCCATCTCTCTAGCCTAATGCACAGAATTTTAAACATTAGGACTGAGGAGTTGCCTTAAACAGAGACAAACAAATGTCTCCTTCACATAATGCTTTACGAATCAAACAGGAACATAATCCAGAAGACCCCAAATGGACAATGTTTAAAAGAATCCCTTATTGAGGCTGAGGTAGGAGGAGGTTTCTGAAGTTAAAAGATAGCCTGGGGTACAGAGCAAGACTGTCTACAAGTACTGGCTGCTCTTGCAGAGGACCCATGTTTTGTTCCCAACACCCACATGGTACCTAACAACCATCTATAACTCCAGTTCCAAGAGATCTGACACCCTCTTCTGACCTCCCCAGGCATTGCATGACATGGGTGCACTTACATACATACATACATACAGGCAACTATAATATATTCATACATGTTAAATAAAAATAGTAAAAAAAATTTTAATTATATATATATACTGACTAATGAGCAAAAAGTAGGAAGTATAAAAATGATACCATTCTAAATACAAATATTAAATCTGTATTTCAAATATTTTGTTTTTTGACAAAGTCTATGTAGCCCTGGCCAGTCTCGAACTCACTATGTAGACAGGCTGGCCTCAAATGCACAGAAATCTGCCTCCTCTGCTTCCCAAGTGCTTGGACTAATGGCGTGGTCCACCACACCCAACTACTTTTCAAATCTTCTAAAAAGTCTGGGTTCTCTTAGGATTTAGAAGGTAGCCATTTTTGTATGGCTACCCAGCCTTTAAGTCTTACCTCTATCAGGATGGCTCGTCTACCAAGTTTTCCCAATGCCTCCTTTGCAGCCCACTTACCTTGTTAGTGCACAAGTATGTGCACTGCAGGCACACTCCCACCAGCATTCCTACAGCATTTTGATCCCACTTCTGGCACATAATACATTAACCTGAGCTCCTAGAGCTTAGTTCCATGTTACCTGTATTTCTGAGCCCTGAGGGGCAGACTTTGGACATGGCACTTTCCCTCACCAACAGTTGTGAACACATGGAAGTTTAAGATTTCCAAAGCAGAGTTTCATTTAACACAGCACATTGGGCAAACAAATCTTCAATGCCTCTTCAAAAAGCCCACTAAAGGAAGAAGACGTTCAGTTGGCAGAGTGCTTACCCAGATTGCACAAAGCCCTGGGTTCAATCCCCAGCATCACATAATCATGTGCATGCCTGTAATCCTAGCACTCAGGAGGTAGAGGCAGGAGGATCACACTAAGTTTGAAACCAGCCTGGGATACATGAGACCCTGTCTCAAAAAAATTAAATTTCTTGGAGCTGCAGAGATGGCTCAGCAGCTAAAAGCACCAGCTGCTCTTGCAGAGGACCTGGGTCTGGTTTTAATTGCCAGGCATGGTGGCTAGTGCCTGCCTGTAATCCCAGCATTCAGGAGATAAGCAGATCATCTTGAGCTATATCTCAAAAAAGGAAATATTCTGAAAGCCCCTAAAAAACAAAATAACTAAATCTGTATTTATAAACGTCAAATGATACTTCCTCAAAGAAATCTCAGAATGTGGAAAACATGGACAGACAGTGATCAGCAATGAAGTATATAGTAAGCAAGTGGTAGAGCGGGAAGAGTCCATCTACAGCCACTCAGAACCCCAGCATGCTGCAAATGCAGGAAGTACCAAGCCTACTAGAGTAGTAAGACACAAAGTTCACATTCATCACACCCTCTACAGGAAGCACATTTTCAGAAAATGTGAACCAGAGACCAAAAAGGACTAAGGACACCTGGCATAGTATCCTTAGGATGATAGAATGTAAGAAAGAATGAGAATTGACTAAAAGCCTATGCCAGCCTTTCCTGACCTCCTCCTACAGCTTTAAAAGCAGACTCAATCTCCTGCCTCCCACCCACTCCCCCTTCTCCTAAGGTCATAAACCTTCCCAGTTTGCATCATTTTGGTGGTTGCCCTCAAAGCAAACTTCCAACCTACAGTGAAACCTAAGGATCAGCAGCACATCTTCAACATGCACCCTTGATTTTAAGTACCTCAATCTTAAAACATGAACAAAAAAGCCATCAACAGGAGACACCAAACCATCAGAGGGAGCAAGTAAGCCTTAAAAAGAAAAAGTCGGGGCTGGAGAGATGGTTCAAGGGTTAAGAGCACTGACTGCTCTTGTAGAGGACCCAGGTTCGATTCCCAGCACCCACATGGCAGCTACAAACCATTCTTAACTCTAGTTCCAAGGGAATCCGAAGCCCTCTTCTGACATCCATGGCATTGCATGACATAGGTGCACTCACATACATGCAGACAATACACTCGTACACATAAAATAAAAATAATAAAATATATAAAAAGAAAAAAGGATGGGGTCGGGGCTGTAGTCAGTTGTAAAGTGCATTTCTTGGCATGTACAAGGCCCAAAGTCTTTTAACTTTTTTTTTTTTTTAACAGTTAAAGGAGGGCCTGGAGATGGCTCAGTGGATTAAGGACTTGCCACCAAGGCTAATGACCAGAGTTCCTTCCCCAGAACCCATATTATGGAAGGAGAAAAATGGCTCCCACAAGTTGCCTTCTAACCTGCACACGTACTGCACACGTCTGCAGCCCCCAAATCAATAAAACTGTGATTTAAAAAAATCAAAATAAGTTTAAAAAGTGCGTGGTGGCGCATGCCTTTAGTAACAACACTCGGGAGGCAGAGGTGGGGGGATCTCTGTGTGTTCAAGGCCAGCCTGGTCTACATAGTGAGTTCCAGGCCAGCTGGGGCTACAGGGAGACCTTGCCTCAAAATTCAAAGAAAAAAAAAAATCTACAAAAGTTAAAGTAAGTGCAAAGAAACTATTCCAGGCTGTGGATGCAGCTCAGCTGGCAGAGTGTCTAGCACACAGGATCCCCAGCACAGCATAAAAGCCAGACACTGTAGCACACATCTGTAATTCCACCAATCAGAAGGCAGAGGCAGAAGCATCAGAACTTCTAGGTCATCCTAGTTACATAACCATTGAGGCCAATGTGGGATACTTGCCAAAAAAACTAAAAAACACTATATAAATTTCAAAACTAGTTTATATAAAACAAGGAAACGAAAAGCTACAAGAGGAAAAAGAGCCACCTTAGTGGTGTACACCTGTAATCCCAGCATTCAGGAGACTGAGGGAGGAGGGTCAAAAGATCAAGGGCAGGGCTGGGAGAGATGGCTTAATTGGTAAAAGGCTTCCTGCACAAGGATGAGGATCTCAGTGGGTGATGCAGGCCTGTAATTCCAGTGTGTGGGGGAGAAACAGAGACAGGAGGAACACTAGGGCTCACTGACCAGTCAACCTAGCCTAATCAGCAAGCTTAAGGTTCAGGTGGAAAATGATTGATGATACCCTCTGACTTCCATGCACACATGTGGGTACACTATTACACACAAAAGGTCAAAGATAATTTGGTCTACATAGAAAATTCCAGACCAGACTAGGCTACCATAGTGAGACTCTGCCTCAAAAACACAAATAAAAAGTAGCAGTAAGAGATACAGAGAAAATGCCAGCAGAAATCATTCACTGAAGCAGCAGACAGCAGTGTGCACCCTAAGTCCGGCTACTAGAAAGATGGAGGCAGGAAAGTCATTGGAGTTCAAGGGAACCTGAGCCAACACAGTGAAACCAACTCCTTCCTTCATCCCCATCAGAAGGAAGGAAGGGAGGGAAGAGGGGAGGAAAAAGAACATTAAAGACAGGGAGGCAGAGGCAGGTGGTTCTCTGAGTTCAAGGCCAACCTGGTCTCTACATAATGAGTTCCAGGCCAGGGGCTACAGGGAGACCCTGTCTCAAAAAGAGGAAATGGCAAAAAAAAAAAAAAAAAAAAAAGTTTACAAGAAACAAAACAAAAAAACAGGTGAGCTCAGTGAAGCATTATCTATAATCTCAGCAAGGCATAAGTTGGAGATCAAGGTCAGCCTGGGCTATACAGCAAGACCCTGTATCAAAAAAAAAAAAAAAGAACAACAACAAGCAAACAAACAAAACAAAACAAAACAAAACATCTAATCTATTAAGACACGACAGCACAGAAAAGAACCAACTCTTTACACAGAGAAACACCAGTCACAAGGTTTGCAATTACAGTCCTTACATGTGCAAAGGAAAAGACCTAAAAATTCAGGAAGGTCTGAGTAAACATTAGCCAGGTTTGGGCTAGGGATTATAGGTCAGTGGCAGAGTGCTGGACAATCATGGCACGGCCGTGGATTTGATCCCTAGTACTGAAGAAAAAAATAAAATAAAATAGATAAAAACCAAAACAAAAATTAACCAAACTAGGTTCAAAGGTAATAATCCTAGCCCTCCGGGAGATAGACAGAATTACAAGTCTCACGTAAGGAAGTCACTCTGCAATGCGTCTCATGCTAAGCCTCAGAGAAGGCTAATGCTAGATAGAATTTAGAAATTTCTAGGGAACTCTAATTTAGGGGGTAATTTAAAACTTACTGTGGGACATGTATTTGGAGGTGAGGATTCTTCTGTACATACAGACAAGACAGACAGGGAAGGCATCTGGGAAGATGTCAGGGTTGGCACCTCTGTGCCACTGTTCAAGTTCAAAGCTGAAAGCCCAAGAGTATGGTCCCCATTGAGCTCACTGGCACTGCTTTGGGTGGAAGGCTTTAGGAAATTCCGGGCCATGCTGCTTCGGAGGCAGGATGTGCTATGGAAAGTGCTTGCCAGCTTGACTGTCTTCTGATTGCTGTCATCAGAGTCAAGTTTGGGGAAGGACAGAGATTTGATATTGCTTACGGCAGGGATAGGGGGGAGGGACACTTTGGAAGACAGCGACATCTTTTCACAGTTGCCCAACTGTGGTAAGGTTATAAAGCCATTGGGTTTATGAAGAGGCTTGAAATCTAAGGTTGCCCGCTCCAAGGATGCCAAGACCTCCTCATCCTGTAACACAGACCCAGAGCTTCCTCTGGGTAAGTTATTGTCCAATAACTGAGCCATTATGGGTCCAGTGGATCCTACCAGAATGTTTCTCAGCTCCTCCTTCTCATCAATAGTTTTTAACTCCAGATTATCAAATGGGTCTTCTTCACACTCGAAGTCAGCAGGATTGAAATCTGCCTTTGTGTGGGGTGGGCTGAGAACTTTTTGTTTAGTGGCACTACTGCTGACCCGAGTTGGAGTGAGGATGCTGTTGTGCTGTAAGCTGGCAAGAATGGGGTTAATAGGAGGTGGCATTGTGGCTGTACTGTGAGTCTTGGAGAAGCTCATTTTGCTATCGCCCTCTGGGCCACTCTTAGAATTCACTTTAGCTTCTGCTTCCTCAGCCTTACGCTCTGCTTCTCGCTGAGCTTCTTGGATTATCTTAATATCTTCAGCCCACTCAATGGTTTTCTTTTCCAAGGAGAAGTCATACTGCAAAGATACAGCAGAGAAAGGAGATGTGAACCCAGGTGGCTGCTCTCCCCAACCCAACTCACTCCTTCCTCACTCCTGTAAGTGACGTAGAGCAGACAGCACTTCAGGTACATGGACAAGCTTCACTAAGGAAAACTAGTAATTCCAATGCCGAAGGTATGCTCCCAGATTACTTCTGTAAATTAACTACAAAGGTTCCCACCACTTCTTGTCATACATACAGAACCAACAGAAACTTGCCACATCCTTTGCACATCTCCTCCCTCTGGCCTCTCCTCTCCTCAGTTCATGGCTCAGATGGGGGCTTAGCCACCCACCCAAGAAGCTTTCCTGATGACCCATTTGTTCTTCTAGAATTGTATAGCATTTGCCTCTATCAGTCACCTCATGGCGAATGTATATATTCTCTAATATGTCCTCCTGTTGGCAGTGCCCTATAGACCCTCTCTGGGTCTCTATTGTATAGCACAATGTCCTAATTAGATCCCATGCTTAATAATGGCAGCACCTAACGTTGAAGAAAGAGTTACAAAGTGCTATGCACTACTGCTTCGCTTGTTTTAATAGTACTGGGGAAGGAACCTAGGGCCTTGCACATAGCAAGCAGTGCTCTACCACTGAGCTACACCCTTAGGCAGTGAGAGCACTTTTCATGGATTAACCCTCTAGATTTTGACCTTTCAGCAATTATCATTATCCCTACTTTACAAGGGGCCATGCCCACAGTCACAAAGCTAGCAAGCACCGGAGCCTTGATCTGAAGCCAGGGAGTCTGACTACTAGTCCACACTTTTTTTTTTTTTTTTTTTTTTTTTTTTTTTTTTGTCTTTTGAGAGAGGGTTTCCCTGAAGCCCCAGCTGGCCTTGAACTCACAAAGATTCGCCTGCCTCTGCCTCCTGAGTGCTGGGATTAAAGGCATGCGCCACCACAACTGGCCCCTATTCTAGGCTCTTAATCCACAATTACTTTGACAATGAGGAGGTTATACTAAAAATGCAAGGAAACTTAAGAAATCTAGTACTGGGGCTGGAGAGATGGCTCAGCAGTTAAGAGCACTCACTGCTCCTGCAGAGGACCCTGGTTCATTCAATTCCCAGCATCAACATGGCAGCTACAAACCATCCTTAACTCCAGTTCCAGGGGAATCCAAAGCCCTCTTCTGACCTCCCAGCATTGCGCGACACGGGTGCACACACATGCAGGCAATACACTCATACACATAAAATAAAAATAATATTTTTTAAAAAAGAAATCTAGTGCTTAGTTCAGCAGCACACATGATAAAATTGGGAAAATTTAAAGATCAGCATGGTCCTTGCACAAGGGTAACACTCAAATTCCTGAAGTGTTTCATTCTTGTTCCCTAGCTGGCCTGGAACTGGCTATGACCAGAGAGGCCTTGATCTCACAGAGATCTGCCTGCCTCGGCCTCCTGCATGCTGCACACTGGGATTAAAGGCGTGTGCTACCATGCCTGGCTTTGCCTCCTACATTTTCAAGTTACTTGGCTAGGGGGGGCCTGTCATCACAGGACTTCTTTATCTGTTATTTGCTCATCTTCCCAATGTATACTGATGAAACCTCCTTTTTCTGCTTTCAAAAAAGAAAAGAAAAAGAATGGGAGTAGCCAAGCATGATGGCACACTTGGAAGACAAAGGCAGGAGACTCACAGTTTGAAGCCAGCCTGGCCTACATATAGCTAGGCCCTAAGGGAACGAAGAACCTAGCCATGAGACTCAGTGGCAGAGGATACAAAGACCAGGGGTGGGGGGTCCTACGCATCTCTAAGATTTTATAGAATACCCCAACATTTGAGAGGTGGAGACAGGAGAATCAGGAGTTCAGATAGTCTGGGGTATATGAAAATCTAAGATAAATAAACAACAACAAAAAAAGAATAAATGAAAAATAAGATTGTTACAGAACTGAACAATGATTCATTTCATGGTTCCTTAATAATACTTTAAAGTACAGCCCAATTTACAAAATTTTCATTGCCACATTTAAAAGAAATATACATCTTTATATAAAGCAAAATTCACATGGGAAAGAAAAAAGATTCCTGGCATTCACTTTAAAGCAACAAGAATTAAACAATGCATGCATGTGTGTTCAAGAGTAAAGACACATTAGAGACAGAAAAGAAGAACAAAGTAGGAAAGTCTAACATGCTGAGAACTCATGTTAGGATAGAAGAAGCCTAAGGTTGGTCATTTCCCAGCCTTTCAGCGTCAAACAGCCCAAAGGAAGCCTAACTACATAGGTACCAAGAATTCAAGTTTCTGGTCCAGTTGTGTCCTACAGAGATTGGGAGGTTAGTGTGCTTCTCCATCACAAATAGAACTGTGAGAAAACAGTACTGGGCTTAGACTCTAGAGCTTCTAACTGGAAAAAATCCAATTGTCTTTTTGGTTTTTTGAGACAGGGTGTAATAGTTTCTTTTCTCATTGTTGTGCTAAAATACCTGACAAAAGCAACTTAAGAAGAGTTGATTTTGGCTTTCAATTTGAGGGGACAGTCTGTCATGGCACACAAGGCAAGGTGGCAGGACCCTCAGGTAGCTGGTAAACACAGCATTCACAATAGGAAGCAGAGTGACAGATGCTAATGCTGCGCTAGTTACTTTTTTATTCAGTCTATGAGCCCAGCCCATAGAATGCTGCTGCCCACATACAGGTAGGTCTTCCCACCTCAACTGAATCTAGATAATTCCTCAGACATTCCTAGAGGCTTATCTTTTCAATGATCCAGTCAAGTTATCAGCATTAACAGTCAAATGGGGTTTCACTGAGTCTAGGCTGTTCCAGAACTTACTATGTAGCTCACTCTATCCTTAAACTGAGATCCTCCTACCTCAGTCACCAGAGTATTAGGATTATAGGTGTGCACTACCTCACTCAGCAAGGAAACACAATTTTGCAGTGTCCTCTAATAAATCAACTTCCCACTGCTGATAAACACAGATCTCTGACAGAAGCTGGAGAGATGGCTCAGTGGTTAAGAGCACTGGCTGCTCTTACAGAAGACCTGAATTCAGTTCCCAGTACCCACATGGCAGCTATCAACCATCTGTAACACCAATTCTATGGAATCTGATGCCCTCTTCTGGCTTCCACAGGCACTGCACACATGTACACTTTACATGCAGGTAAAACACTCATACATATGAAATAAATAACTACAATAAATCCACAGGTCACTGAAGTTTTATACAAATAACTAGAATTATCTTCCCTTTGCTAGAAAACACTGAGATTTTTGGGTTTTGTTGATGTTGTTTTGATGTTTCTTTTTTGTTTAGGGATTTTTTGGGTCTTTTTTGAGACAGGGTCTCTCTGTAGCCCCAGTTGGCCTGGAACTCACTATGTAGAGGCTGTCCTTGAACTCAGAGATTTGCCTGCCTCTGCCTCCCAAGCACTGGGATTAAAGGCGTGTGCCACCATGCCAAGCTAATATTTTTTTTTTTTTTAAAGCATACAGCCATGGGGCTGGAGAGGTGGCTCAGTGTTTTAGAACACTGAAATGTTCTTGCAGAAGACCGGGGTTCGAATCCCAGTACCCACATGGCACAGCTAACAACTGTCTGTAACTCCGGTTCCAGGGGATCTGATGCCCTCTTCTGACTTCCACAGGCACTGCACGACATGGGTACACTTCCATACATGCAGACAACACACACATACAATAAAATAAAAATAATAAATTTTTTTTAAAAAGCCAGGTGTGGTGGTGCATCCCAGCACTCGGGAGGCAGAGGTAGGCGAATCTCTGTGAGTTCAAGGCCAGCCTGGTCTACACAGTAAGTTCCAGGATATTTGGGACTACAGGGAAACCCTGTTTCAAAAAGACCAAAAAAAAAATAGAATACAGCCAGGCATGGTGGCGAATGTGCCCCCCAGCACTCGGGAGGCAGAAGCACACAAATCTCTATGAGATGGAGGTCAACTTGATCTACATAGCAAGTTCCAGGCCAGCTGGTGCTACAGGGAGACTGTCTCAAAAAACAAAACAACAAAAGCAGAAAAATACAACACTAATATGGAGCACCAAAAGGCAAGCATTACAATGCCTTAGAGGTTTCCTGTTAGACACAATTTCCTCTTCCATAGTTTCATTTGTTTGTAATCAACCACTCAGTCCAAAAACAGTAAATGAAAATTCCAGAAATAAACAAATCTTAACTTTTAATTTCTGAGTAGCATAATTACCTAGCACCTTTCCTCACTCTGTCCTTGTGATATTGTACATAGAGTCTAACACTGCCTGAGGTTTCTAGGCATCTTCCAGGTCTGAGAACACATCCCACAGATAAAGGGAGGATGCTGTGATTTAGATACGGCTAGTCCCCCAAGGGTTCTTGATCTCCAGTGTGGCAATGTTGAGGTAGAGGGACTGTTAAGAGGTAGGACCTCTGGGGTTATAAAGATGGCTCAGTGGTTAAGAGCACTGGCTGCTCTTGCAGGGGACCCAGGTTCAATTCCCAGCACCCATGTGGCGGCTAACAACCATCTGTAACTCCAGTTCTAGGGGATCTGACATCTTCTGACCTCCATGGGCATTGCATGACACAGGTGTACTTACATATATGCAGGCAATATGCTCATACACATAAAATAAAAATAATAAGGGCTGGAAAGATGGCTCATCAGTTAAGAGCACTGATTGCTCTTGCGGAGGACCCAGGTTCGAGTCCCAGTAGCCACACAGCAGCTAACAACCATCAGATAACTAAAGTTCCAGGGGATCTGACGCCTTCTTTTAACCTCTGTATGACACAGGTGCACTTACACACATGCAGGCAATACACACGCAAATAAAATAAAAATGAATTTATATATATATATATATTTTGGTCTTTTTGAGACAGGGTCTCCCTGTAGCCTGAGCGGGCCTGGAACTCACTATGTAGATCAGGCTGGCCTTAAACTCACAGAGATCTGCCTGCCTCTGCCTCCCGAGTGCTGGGATTAAAGGCATGTACCACCACGCCCAGCATAAAATATTTTTTAAATAAATAAAAATAATTATTCTTATCTCATGGGAGATAAGAATAGGCTTTAAGAAACATCAATGTGTTTCTGGAAGTTTTTCCTCTATCTTTCAGTATTTCCAGAGAGAGCACTAAGAAAATAAAACTTGAGCCACAGACAATGGTGCACACCTGCAATTCCTTAGGAATTTGAGGCAAGAGAATCATAAGTTAGAGGCTAGCCTGGGCTACATAGTGAGTTCCAGCAAAGCCTGTCTCAAACAAAAGCAACTTTTTTTGAGGGGCTGGAGAGGTGGCTCAGGTGTTAAGAGCACTTGTTCTTCTAGAGGACCTGGGTTCAATTCCCAGCACCTACATGGCAGTTCTGTTTCTGTCTTCTGGCCTTTGTGGGCACTACATACCAATAAACATACCAATAATCAAAACACTCATACAAATAAACTTTTTTTTGGTCTTTTTGAGACAGGGTCTCCCTATAGCCCCAGCTAGCCTGAGACTCAGTATGTAGACCGGGCTGGCCTTGAACTCACAGAGATCCGCCTGCCTCTGCTCTGCCTCTGCCTCTCAAAGACTGGGATTAAAGGTATGTGCCACAATGTCAGGTTTCTTTTTCTTTTTTTTAAGTTACATCTACTCATTCATTTGGGAGGGGGTGCACAATGGCACACGGGTGAAGGCAGAGTTAGTTCGCGCCTTCCAGCTTGAAAGAGCTCTTGAGAAGCAGAGGCAGGTGGTTCTCTGTCAGTTCAATGCCAGCCTGGTCTACATATCGAGTTCCAGGCCAGAAAGGGCTACACAGTTGAGATGCTGTCTTAAAAACCAAACACAGGGGGTTGGGGATTTAGCTCAGGGGTAGAGCGCTTGCCTAGCAAGCACAAGGCCCTGGGTTCGGTCCTCAGCTCTGAAAAAGAAAAAAAAAAGACAAAATAAAAACCAAAGACAGAAACAAAATCCTATGTGTCTGCTCCTAGCAAAAATCATCATGTTGTCTGTAATTTTTTTCAGTTGTGTCTGTATGCAGTGCTAGAGATCAAAGCCAGGGCTTCATACACACAGAGCTTGTATACTACCAATGAGCTACGTCCCAGCCCTGCCGGGGCTTTTAAACCATATTAATAGTATTGTATACTCAGAAAGGTATTTAATGACTATTCATTATTACCAATAAAAAAACTATCAGGCAAATGGACTAAGAAAAAGTATATAAGGTAAATCTATTTTCTGGACTAAGGAAGTCTTCACATATGGTAACAATGTCTATTCAGTATTTTAAAATACGTAAAATGGTGGTGGCACACGCCTTTAATGCCAGCACTCCGGGAGGCAGGGGTAAAGGGACCTCTGTGAGATTGAGACCAGCCTGGTCTAC